TCAATAGCTCTCTTAATTAATCCTAGCTGATATACAAGTCAATTGAATAGTCACTATAATTATTACAAAGTTTTTTCAAACTTATTGTAAGGGTTTCGTGGTTAGCAGAGCACGATTAATTTCTCAGATTCACAGAAGCTAGGAGAATTACTATACCTAGCAGTTTTTTTTTATAGACACCCTGTAGATTATGTGACCCCTCTGTAACAATTCTATCCAAGGATCTAGCTAAGGGTAACATTGAGATAATGCTGTTGGCTGCAATTGAGTTCAAGCTTAAGGTGGAAGGACAACATTATATATATTTATATTTTCCATCCTAGTTTCAAGAACTTTAAATGTATTAGAGATTACCTTTTTGTTGTTGTAGCATGTAGTTCTTGTATAAGATGTTTGTGTCACCCTAGATGCATTTATCAACATTTTGTGGCACCATCAGGGGATCTTATTCATCTTCTTATCACTAACGCTATAAAATAGTCTATATTTACAAAAATATTAACACACACACACGGCCACTGTTATTGTTGTTGGGTCAATCGAACAATGGACATGCGGCGGAGTCATGGCAGGTCTTTCTTCCTCTGTTTCATTTCTAGGACTAAGGATATGCTTAATTTTAATTTGGGCCATTTGACAGTTGAGGGTAGTTCGGACTCTCCTGGTTTATGGTCGGGTAGATACTTTAATCTCTACTGTAGTGTTACCGTTTTATGGATGTGTTTATAGTTTTGTCTGTTTTAATGTTGTATATTAATTTGAAAATTAAGTAGGCCTAGAGGTGGCGCAGTCTTCTTTTTTTGCTTAGGAGGATGTTCAATCCATTTATATTTATAGGTACATGTTTTTATATTTGGTAAATTTTCTCGTTCTTTTATCAATTTAATTATTTGAGATGGGGACGCCCACCTAGGTGCGTATTTTAACCCAAATATGAGTGGAGGATGAGTGTTAAATGTTGTGAGATTATCTAAATCTTTTGCTAATGGTTTTGAGTGGGTTTTTGTTCCAAAATGTGAGGGAGTTGCAAAAAGTGATTTTCAAAATATCTTAAATGTCTTATTCTTAGTCACATCCTGTGGAGATAAGCATATGGTTCCCATTGCCGAGCGGAAATTCCTAGAAAGCGGCGGTTAATCCGGGTTTACACGATGCCAGCAGGTGAGACAATTGCCATCACATAGTTGTGGAATTGTCGTAGGCCAGGCAAGTTGAACAAGAACCTGTTCACACGTGGCCAACACTTGACCAGGCATTTTACAGTGAACCAGGGTACTACTGCCAAAAGGCAAGACAGTGCTATTGGCCTGCACCGTTTACACGGTGCCAATTGTCACGACAACTAGGTCTTCGAAGGGTGGGGGGCCTCACTGGGCCCAGCTCATTGTCCTCCTCCTCAGTCTACTCCCAGAGACAACTGAATTTTGAGGAAATTGCGAGGGCAATTGGCCTGAAGTGTTTACACAAAGCCAACAATTTCATACAAGTCAAAATTATCTCACCAACTGGCATTGTGTAAACCCGGCTGCTCTCAAAGCAAGGTTGGAACAAACTGTAATATTTTACGATCGAGGCTGTCTACTGTAATTGTAATTTTATGAATTTGGCTCTAGGCAAATATATGAGATGCAGTCGCCAGCTCAGCCTATGAGTCGAATATTTAATGGGATTGCCAAGTGTAGAAATTTTAGAAAAGGGTCTCTAGAGACAGTAGGCCTACATTGTCCTGTAAAAAAGTCTTCTAAAATGACTTTGAAGAGGATCCTCTCAACATTAAATATTGAGTTTGAACAAACATTTCTAAATAGCCTAAATAAAAATTTAGACCAAAACAAACCCACAAGATTAAGGCCACAGCACATAAATACATTTTTTAGGGAAGTAAAGGGAATAGTGAGCTTTTCCAGCTTTAAAGGTAATTTCATTTAAGTTACTTTTACTCTGCTTTATAAAATATGAAAATGCATGTGCATTTGAGAGGTTATGATCAACCAAAACAAAACCAAAAAATAAAAACAATAACAAAAACAAACAACAAACAACTCTGTTTTTTCTGACAAGCTGCCACTGCTGTCGCTGTCTGCTGAAATACCGGTACAACAAAAACTCACGGTCCATGAATCTGGAAAAAAAGGTAAAATAAAGTAAAAATACGTTGGTTATAAGGCCATTTTTTTAATATTTATTTAAATGCTTTTAATGTTATGTTCTTGCTAAAAAAAGTGCCAAAACAACTTAGAATGACTAATTATATATTTTATAATAAAGAAAATTGAAGATTCCAAAAATACTCAGGACCTCACCCACAAGTTTTGTAAATTAGGTGAGGCCAAGCCAATGTAATATTCTGAATAAACATATTTGAGTTTGAAGTAGGTTGTCTTGGTGGCATCTTGTCGCTGGCCTGCGTCGTAATGGGTCAATGGATGGGAGAGAACGAGTACACAAAAACACTCCACAGCGTAAAAAATGTGTGATAGTACAATTTTCAATCTCCAGAGTTGATTGGTAGTGTAGTGGGCCTAAGTACAAAGATTCAGCTGACATCAGTCACAGAGCAATCCCAGGAAACCAGGGGTAGATGCACGTAAACTCAAAACTTCATCAAAATTAACCATCGAAAAGAAAAGAGTTAAAAGGGAATTGCTTTCAGACGTGGAGACCTCTGATCGTGAATCTTGTGGTGAAAATTTAGTTTACAAATAACACAACTTCTTTGCCAGCAAGTATATACATTTTATGGTATAAAATTTAAAAAAAACTGAAATATTTGCAAAATTTTACAAAAAGTGGATCACGATACCCTTGATAAACACTTTGTGTTCCCAGAGAGGAGGAACTTCGAGAGAAGAGGCGCTAGTCGCCACAGTCATTCAAACTTGAACTTGGACCGAACCGAACAAGCTGCCCAGTTGAAGAGAAGTACGGCACAAAGGGACGTACAACACAAAGTATCGGATCCACCCTTTTAACCAATGGCTCTCCGTTGTATATATGCAGTGAACAGAAACACTTTTCCCTGCGAGAACCAACACTTTGATCGTAGTTTTTCTCGTCAACCACCAAAAGAAGACCATGCAAAGTATGATTCCTTTGATATTTACGCTTTTCCATACGACTTGGTGATATTATTTTAATTAAATATGCCCAAATAATCTCGGTTTATTTCTATAGAATCTGCATTACCGACACAATCTTAGTTGCCTTATTCGACCGATAGAGTTCGGGACCTGCACTACCACAACATAGAGTACATTGTATCACAACAGCCACAGCCACTACAGTACGCTGATGACCGAGCTCACCACTGTCGACCACCATATAATAAACTAAGATTCTAATTTTCTGCGCAACCACTGATCTCCTACCAAATATTAGCAAGGTTAAGATGCTCTACATAGAGCGGGGCTTGTTGACTATTTTGTTGAGCCAATAAAAGATTATATTTTACATCCTCCATCAAATAGTAGCCTAACAACTAGGATTGTTCGTTCAGTAGTTTAAGCGTTTCGTTGTGAAGACATTTGTCAAAGATTTTAACTCGTCAAAACACAATTTAAATTGCAAAATGTCAGATGTGCTGTTTATATTTATTTATTTCATACTGAAACATTAATTGCATAACTGTTGAATCCATGTTTCGGATTTTTTTTTAACACTTATAAAACCAAATTAAGGTCTAAAGATACCAATGACCCAATTAAGGTCATGGGGTTATTTAAGGTCCAATATGACCTTTATACGCTGCACTTTGTACCTCTGACTCGTCTTTGGGACCTTAACTTTGTTTTGTATTGTATTTGAGAATAAGTACCAAAATGGTCTTATGGCATGTTAATTATTACTGTACCAAACATTTTATTTTTACTAATGGATACAACAAAATTTATAACGTGCACAAAAATCGTAGCTCTGCTGCTTACATAAATAAAGTCAATTACAATTGCAAGACTGCTCTCAGAGTAGAAAGTATTATTAGTATACTCTAGAATCACATATACGACTAAAGGATATAGTCTATCTAATCTCACCGTTAGTAATAATTTTCCCGGAGCAAATTTGACATCACGATTGCGGCCCACCAGAGAGTATAAAAGCTCCCATATAACGAAATGCATCTAAAGGCCGCAGGTTTCTGCAGCTTCTAGGTGTGCCGCCTTGCATCTAGCTTGCCGCAGCAGCGTTCGGTGGCCGCCGCGGAGTTAAATTTGAGCACCCATTTAACTCAATCCACTTACAGGACCGCAGGCAGCAACGACGTGTGACACGCCGCAGAGAGTGTAAAAGGGGCCTGAGTCAGCGTCCAGGTTGAAACCCAGGTTGATTTACTTATTTGCTTAGCCAAATCAATCAAATACAATCAGTGTTAGCCATGTCAAAACAAACTAAAATACGAAACTTCTCATGTAGTACCTTTGTAAAACTATTTGCAGTGTAGGTTGAGTGGCGCGATCTTGTAGTCCGGTTAGTGACTAACATAATTAGTCAAGGGCATCAGGCTACTTACTGTATTTCCGAACTGATTAAGGGGGGGGGGGTTGATCTTCGGTTTTAACTTTGAAATAGAACTGTAACAGTTTTGAGACAAATTTTCCTATTTTGAAATTTGCTACCCAACATTTAAATACATTTCTATTAATTTGCCTTTTTTATCCCCTACAAAAGGCCCGAGTGTGCATTGCATACGTCGCACACTCCTCAGGCCATCCCTGACTAAATAGATGCTATTTGGGACCTATTAAACAAACATGCCAGGCTGATCACCAATTTTCAGTATTATTACAATTAATAATAAAAACATTAATTTCTTATATGAGACTGGTAGCTATACGTTCTTACATATAATCTATCATTCTATAGCTACATGAAAACTAATCGGATCATAGAAAAAATATGGATTTACGAATGATATGGAAGGCATTTGCATTATTTTTACTAAATTTCGCATATGTTTTTTAGGTTAGTTCAAGTCAATTCCTTGCCTTGTCTGCTTGTCTATCTTCCTTCGTTCGTTGTCTTCGTCTCGTTTTTGGCGTGCGTTTCTTTGACGTCTTGGTGACTTTGGTTTGAAATTTTTTATCAAGATGAAATACATCTTAGTGACTGGAGGAGTTATCAGTGGAGTCGGCAAAGGAGTAATTGCCAGTTCTTTTGGTACAATATTAAAAAGTTGTGGCATTCAAGTCACATCTATAAAGATAGATCCTTACATCAACATTGACGCAGGCACGTTTTCGCCGTATGAGCATGGTAAGTATATTTTGGCCTTTATTTACATTATTAAAAGATGACAAGATTTAAACATGATTCAATACTATTAACTTAGTGTGTTTAAGTTCTGGATAGTCGATCGTTTTTTCCTTATGTGCTTTTAAGGCACACAATTTCACAAGGTTACAGACAAGGTCTAGAGTCCTTGTTAGCCGTGCCTCATCAACTCTTTATCATACAACCATGTCAAAATAGGTCTTGATGTTATGTGTAACCAAATGTTATGCCATATTTTAAACATCAGCATAGTTGCTTATGTAAAATGTAAGCTAAGTAAGTTATATTGATCCATTACCAAATTTTCTTAGGCCTGAAAACTGTTATAGGTTAGGGACAGATGCTAGGTTAGGTTATGAAATAAGTTTTATACTTAGGTTTTGTAAACTTAAAAAATGAAGCATACAGCATATTGACTCCTTGAAGCCTAGCTTCCTATTTTATTCCTGACCAAATCTTATGTACCGGTAGCTTAGATTATAAGTACGGGCATTATCAGTTTTATGGAATTGCATTGTCCCTCCACCCATGCAAACCATTTTTAACACGTTCACTGCGGATGACGAATAATCTCGTCACTGCTATCGCTTTTCAGTGGCGGGCGACGAGTATACTAGTCAAAGAACCGTTATCAAAATAGAGGTTAGTGTAGCCACTGTGGTGAGAAGCCGTTTTGCTTATGCCGATTATTGTGTCATTGTTATAACTTACTTCAATCTGGTATAAGTTAGTTTGTTTTCTGATCTGACTATTATATTGGGGGTAGAGACGGTTACAAATTTATTGTAGTGTGGGGTTTAGGCTTGGATCCAATGACATTCAATAGAATAACAGAATAATGTTAATGAATGTAGGCCTACTGTAGCATTGTGGAATGAACCTAACCTCAAAATTGTGCTTGACCACTTTTTTGCAGTATTTTTTTATGGTTTAAGCTAGCAGTTTGGGTATTGCGTAGTGCTGCTATCTGTTGGGTCTTTAAAACCATATCCAGAACAAATGGTACACAGTATATGCCTCTCATTTGGATTAAACTAAATTTAAACGTTTTCGTGGACTCATCCACGTACAGCACACTAGAATGTTTGCGCCACCGACAACGGTCGGTCATTGCACAGCCACATTGAACGCGTTAAAAGTATTGCAAAATCTTATCTGTTAAATCAGCTCAAAACCCATCTTTTGTTTCTGATGAGGTATTTTGTAAATGGCAGTCTATAACTTCCAAAGGTTGCTGGTTTGATCATAAGAAAAGGCAGTTGGTAGCACTTTTAGGGCTTAAATTGAACCCAGCCTTTCCTGAATAGCCTACTTGCATTTTTTCATTAATGGTCCTGGCTTAAGAAAGGCGGATTTCAGTCTGTTTAACAAAGCTGCATATGGCATCCCACATCTTCCATTCATATTTTTAGATAAAAATATGCTTTGGGTTCAAAATATTGATTCTATTTCGAAGACTTGCTAGGCCCTTCCTCAAATCCTACTATTTGTGCAGGTGAAGTTTATGTACTCGACGATGGAGGAGAAGTTGATCTGGACCTTGGTAACTACGAGAGGTTTCTGGATGTTACCCTGCACAAGGACAACAACATCACGACTGGCAAGATCTACCAATCTGTCATCACCAAGGAACGCAAGGGAGATTACCTTGGCAAGACTGTCCAAGGTCAGTGGGTTTTATTCGTCTTGTTTCTTATGTCACAACATTGATGGTTGATAGTTTTTTGTAAGGGAAGGCAACAATCCGTAGTTCTGCTAAAATCTATTGCCAACATATGTATTAGGCAGTAGGCAGTACACATGTAAGCGTTACATCACAGACTCGAACACACATTCTTAAGCACTACCTACCTAAAAAAGACTGCGGGGGCATTTTCTTTGGTGAAGATGTACGTTATAATGCTTGCCTGGAAGTTCCCTCGCGGATTGCTATGTGTTTTTGAGTTTCGATGTTTGAAATTGAACCGCACACATTTCATAAGTTAAGCCGGAACTTTTAAAAGTTGGGTAGATGACATCTGAGTTTATGTAAATTCTGTGTAGGCTATTTACTTGTATATGCAACTTAAGGAATATATTTGTGAGTTTCCCTTTTTGGTTGAATGCAATATCCTACAACGTTCTCACAAGGTGCCATAAAAACCTCACTATTTGTCATTAACTGTAACTCGTCAAGGTTCTTATTTCTTTGGATTTGGGTAAATGATACCAAAGAACCGTGAGTTGTTTTACTTTCTTTGTCCATTTTCTTTATATCCAGGACAAAAAACCTAAACACATACTGTACCTACACTCTCTACATCTTCCAGTGTCGTTTTACGTGCACTGGGATGTGCCAAAATGCTTAAACCGTGCAATGCAACGCTGTCATGCACTCAAAGGTTTTTCTGGAAAATGCTTTTATGTTCGATGCAACACTTTCATGTGTAAGCCTACGTAGCCTTAGGAAGCATAATTAATCGATAGCCTAGGACTAAATGCCATGTGCTTCCATAAATAACCTCACAAAAAACCAAACAAAGATCCAGAGAAAACAAAGAAAGTTTTCTTTATGTATAGCCTAGTGTTTATCTCAATAATAAGTTTTGTTTGAATACCAAATATATTAAGGTGTAAGAGTGTTCACCTCGCTACATCGTATGATGACATGACAAGAGATTTGGAATTTGGATCTATTCCAGGAGTTCTATTTTTTGGCCTAAAATGTTTTGTTTTCTTCACCATTGGCACAGAAAACATACTACTATAACCCAGAATGCTAACCGCATGGTAAAAAGCGTTAAGTACTCGGAGAGAGCTTTGCCTGTCAATTCGTAGGCAGCGCCACCAGCATTGCTATGCTGGTGCATTGTGCAGCATTGTACAGCATAGCAACGCTGGTGGTCCGACAATAATCAATTGTTATTTACACTGGGCCTAGTTCAATTCCTGAAGTATATTTGATCTGTGAAAATTCAAATATTTTGTAGAATAATTTGTGAACTCCATGTAGGCCTACTGCTATTTTCACAACAATTTTACAACACAATAACGATGTTTTTTGTCTTTAGTGGTGCCACACATCACAGATGCTATTCAAGAGTGGGTGGAGCGAGTGGCCAATCAGTCCGTGTCTCAGGATGGTGCTAAACCTCAGGTAAACCTCTTGTAATAACCTGTGTCAGGATGATTGAGAACATTAGGAGTCTAACATGGTTTTAGACCAGTTAAACAAGACATGTGCTGTAAACTATGATAGCCTATTAACTCATGCGAACATTTGTAGTAGTCAATATTCAATTACTCTAGGCTGATTTAGTTAAGGCAGATGATTTCTGCAACATTGAGAAATCTTGGCTTGGGTTAATTTTCTGACTTGTTGGTCGACCACTTGACCTTTAGTGACTAGTAGTTCTGCTTAGCAAGGAATCAGAATCTCATACGATTTGGCTGAAGTCCGTCGGGTACATTGCTGCTATGTCCATACACTGCTGCATTTGCCTCTGAGGTCCACTATGATGTAATACAATGCTATGATTCTGCTTATTTACCCGGCCTAACACACTTATTAAATATTAATACAGTAAAACAAAAAGAACCCAAACATGACAGTGAAGACCCATGAATAAATCAGTGAATTTAATTTTCAAGTTTGGGTAGGGATCCTAATGACGTGATCTTGGGTTACACTGTTGTACATTAATTTATTGAACATATAACCTACAGTACAAATAGGGCCTATATTGTATAATGTTTATACTTTTTAGACACTTTGAACGCAATGTGTAATTTATTTTGCATACAAATTATAACGATTAGGCCTAAGTGTTTAAAACTTACAAATTGAGAGTTGAACTTTAATTTTTCAATCCAATTAATTTGTAAGCTATATGTCTATCTTCCTGCGGTCAGGGTAATTTGACCGTAATTTAATTGTGTCCTTACAGAGGCCCACGTTTTTCTCTTGGTAAGCCCAAGGTACCTTTCTTTGTGAACAAAATTGATTCTTGAGCTACACCAGTATTGTAACACTTATGCCATGTTATAGGTGTGCATCGTAGAATTGGGTGGCACCATTGGAGACATAGAAGGGATGCCATTTGTTGAGGCTTTTCGACAATTCCAGTTCAGAGTTAAGCGAGAAAACTTTTGCTGCGCCCACGTCTCTCTTGTTCCTCAGGTAAACCTATAGAATTTTTCTTTTCAAATACAGTTGGCAGGTCAAGAGGCAGTAGCTTTTTTCCTAAAAATAAATTTCTATATAAACAAAAACAAGATACATGCATATATGCTTCAATAATGTGCAAAAACTATACCTTACAAGGTTTGCTTGCACCGAAATAGTGTAAAGTGTAGTAGAACCCCTCATATCCGGCCTCAGTTTTATCGGTCCTCTGTTTATCCGGCCACTCCGCAGAAGCCAATATCTAAACGTATCTCCCTCAGTTTACGGACGTGTAGCTGCACACACTAGTCTCATGGGCTTTCCTAGTAAATCTGAATGTTTAAATTTTACTGTGTTCACCGCCCAGTTTAGTGAATAGGCCTCACTCAAACAGCTGGTTGATTTTTTCAGTGTTAGTACAGTTATGAATGAGATAGTATGTCAATGTAATCCATGGTACAGTACACTAATTGTTCTGTTTTGTCAAAAACAACGACAAGAAAGTCCAAGAAAAAATTTTCAGGCTATATTAAGGATTTAAAACAATCTTCAAAGCCAGTTTATTGTAAGTCATTTTTATCTCCATTTTGACTTTACATTTGTTTATATTATCTGAATTCATAATGATGTTAATTCCTTAACCACATAGTCCTATCTTCTATTGGTTTTACAAACATTTATCTTTTCCTTGAAAACGATCCCAAAAGATACATGAACAATACATTTAGCTAAATATATTGATTAGGTACAAATAATTGTTAGGTATAATAGGTTGGTTTATCCAGCCAAATCGTTGTCTGACCAGAGTCTCGTTCTCGGAGGGCTGGATATAAGGGATTCTATTGTAATGAAAATTTATTACATTTATTAAAAGATTATTAAAAAAAAAATAATTACCTTTTGTTTTAAGCTGAAATAGATCCAACCCATAACTGATATTTTATCCAGTGTCTGAAGGCTTTTTTAGTAATAATTTTGAAAATTGCAGTCACCTTCGACTCTTGCTTCACTCAATGAGTCATACTGAAATTGTTGGCTTAAATTTGATATACATTTTTCGATTTTTCAATAACTTTTTTCACACCACACTCTTGATAAAGTATTAAAGTTAGTATTAAAGAAATCGGAAACTTTACAATATTCAAACATGTCTGTTTAAATTTTCCCAGATCAGATCCTTACCCAGAAATCCCTCATCCTTCTTATCCTTTGACAACGATTCATCGAGCAACAAGTCCAGTGATAGCAAGAATATACAAGATCTGGATCTTATGTTTTGGGAAAGAGGTCGTCAAGATATGGAGGTATAACTTGGCAGGTTTTTAAAACAAAATTGAAACATTTTTTGAAAGATTTTAGTAAAATGCAAACTTTGGATCAGCTATTTTAAGAGCAATTTGAAAAACAAATGTCTAAAGAAAAAAGTGTATGAAACCCAAAAAATTACTAGAAATATCTAAATTTAATGTGTATATACAGGGTGTTCATTTGAAAACTTTCCATATCTGTTGTGTGCAAAGGTAAGGCTTTTAACACTTGTTTGTTCTCAATTCCCCCTAATTTGGACATGCCAAATCCAATAAAATTATTTTCAATTTTGAAAAATGCCCCAAAAGGGCCCAATTTGGGGGGTAGGGGTGCTTTTTGAGAAATTTTTAAAAGTAAACATGGGTTGTGTGATACATCAATTTAAAGCTCTAATCACCCCGATCATTTTGGTGCAAAAAAAGTTTAATTATCTTTAACCGTATTTACAGGGTGGGTCAAAACGTTTTAAAAAAGGACTTTGAAGTTAAGTACCGTATTACCCTAACTACTGAACGGAACAGCGCCAAATTTCTTTCCAAGCTTATTCTTGAGCTACTCTTTAAGATAACTTGTAGTAAGGGCATTTTCCATGTTATTATCTTAATTTTTAAAAAATCTCAAATTTTAAGAATAAAAGAAAGCTGAAAACTCAAAATTCTTAAATAGCAAGGTATGACAAATTCCATACCACGTGAAAGGTCCTTTTTTAACAAACATTTTACGTATTTAAGTTTTCTTTCTATCTCTTACCGTTTAAAAATTGCAGTGGAAAAACATAATTTTCTATGGTAAAATAACTAGTTTTCTAATAAAACACATTGCACTTTGTACAACGATGTAGTAGGATTCATAACAAATTGATCGACTACTTTTACGTGTGTCAGAATTCATCCTGTTCTTTTCTCATTGGTAACTGAGCCAGTTTCAGAAAACTTCCTAACTAAATCATTTACAGCCATATGACTCAATGTTATACCTGGATATCTATTGTTAAAAACTTTGCAGTTATCCTGGAACACTTTTGTTGTGACCAATAAGTAAAAATAAAGTCTATTTTTTTAATTTTACACCATATTTGATTAGGTACTACAGGAAATGGTACTTTTGAAATTAGTACTACCATTGACTAGTCAATGGTACTACAGAAAGCGGCCCACGCTTGGGTTTTTCTCATCAGCTATAAAACTTGTTTTTCACAAAGTAAAACGTAATGACTTGTTTGCCTATCTGCCTAAAAATAATTATGAATTGTTTCCTTCAGTTATTGCACCACTTAATGTGTCTAAAGACGAATTTTGGCTGTTTTATTAGAAAACTAGTTACAATTTTACCATAGAAAATTATGTTTTTCTACTGCAATTTTTAAACGATAAGAGATAGAAAGAAAACTTAAATACGTAAAATGTTTGTTAAAAAAGGACCTTTCACCTGGTATGGAATTTGTCATACCTTGCTATTTAAGAATTTTGAGTTTTCAGCTTTCTTTTATTCTTAAAATTTGAGATTTTTTTAAAATTAGAAAATAACATGGAAAATGCCCTTACTACAAGTTATCTTAAAGAGTAGCTCAAGAATAAGCTTGGAAAGAAATTTGGCGCTGTTCCGTTCAGTAGTTAGGGTAATACGGTACTTAACTTCAAAGTCCTTTTTTAAAACGTTTTGACCCACCCTGTAAATACGGTTAAAGATAATTAAACTTTTTTTGCACCAAAATGATCGGGGTGATTAGAGCTTTAAATTGATGTATCACACAACCCATGTTTACATTTGAAAATTTCTCAAAAAGCACCCCTACCCCCCAAATTGGGCCCTTTTGGGGCATTTTTCAAAATTGAAAATAATTTTATTGGATTTGGCATGTCCAAATTAGGGGGAAATGAGAACAAACAAGTGTTAAAAGCCTTACCTTTGCACACAATAGATATGGAAAGTTTTCAAATGAACACCCTGTATATCTATGCATATCCATAGTGTGGATTATAAATGTAAAAACGTAACACATTTTAATAGACCACTTAACATATTCTAAGGTACACTCAAAATTTGTAGTGGATATGTAGACCCATTTAGTCTTTCCATAACCAGTGAAGAATCTAAAACTGGTTATATGTGTTTTGTGTGGCAACGTTGGTACTTCGGTACCAACAAAATTTTTCTTCTCAGGATGAATTTCACTGTACCTATAACAGATCGTTTTATGGGTCAAACTTTTAAAATATAATAGTTTCGGCCTAAAATTATAATATTTTTTAATCTACACCAGTAGCAGTTTACTAGAGGTCGACATGAGAATAAAGTTTTATATCTATGCTGGAAATTAAACCCGTCACTCCCGCACCAAAGTCCAAGACGCTAACCACTAGGTTAGCAACACACCCAAAACAATTACAACTTTTCTTTACGAGTGGTAACAGATCAGAACACTATTGGTTCTAGTGTGTTCTAACATTACTGTACATAAGAACCACCAGGGTTTATGATTGGAAGGTAGTTTATTTTAATTGTTTTTGTCTCTGTATCACATTTAAATGTTGTTAATTGTTATTACTTGGAGTAGCCCTCCTGCTATCCGTAACCAAAGGGTTTCTATAAGGCTACTTATAAATTCAGAAGTCATCATCATAATTTGATTAAGGAATTGTTGGTTGAGTCTTGTACATTTATTTTATATTGAAGCTAAATAACCTTACTACTTTGAAATAACACTTACTAATTGATTGAATAAAAATTTGTCCTGGGATTAATTCCATTACCATGTACAACACTGATGAATAAAATTATTGATGTCTCGATGCCAAATGTTGATTCCATTGATTGTTGGTTGGCCTTGGAAATGAAACAAAGTATCAATCGCTAAAATTTGATTTCAATATTATTGATCCATCTGTGGTTTATCCTAATAAATAGCTGTATAAAATACTGACTGAACCTCCCTAGGTACCTAGTTAAATTGTAACACCAATATATTTGCATTTATTTATACCACCCTTTATTTTCCATTTAGTTTTGTTAAATATATATCAGTTATAATTTTAAAGATTAAAGATTTCAAGATTCTTTGTTTTGTCATTTACCATGAAATACAGTAATACCACGTCAGATTAGTTAGGCTACATATTAAATACTACATAAGATTTCTACTCAACGAATTGTATAATTTCATCATAGTAGGTAGCAGAATACTTGATGAATATAGCCGTTGGTTGAAATATAGGAGAAAACTAATGTGAGGGTTAAAATTTGTCTTGTTTTTGTTTTACAGCCCCGATCCACAGGAGAAGCAAAGACCAAACCTACCCAGTCTAGTGTGAGAGAACTACGCGGACTAGGTTTGTCCCCCGACCTGGTCGTCTGCCGCAGCGAGAAACCAATCAACCAAGACGTCAAAGATAAAATATCTAACTTTTGCCACGTCCCCCCAGAACAGGTATGCTGTGATATTTATTTTCCTATATTATAATTTGCATTCATAGTTTTGTAACCAGTACTCCCTGTTTTTATGGGCCGAGTGATCTGTGTGGTAATCTAAAAACAGTGAATCACTGTTACAGTTAATGTGCCTGGGAAAATGAGTGATCACAGTGATAAAAAAATACAAAGGTCAGTCTTAAAATAGCATTATCGACTTATCTACCCAACTTGACTTTGACCTGGCTACTTTGGTTTTTGGAATTATTAATTCCTGCCCTAAATTCTGTTTTTAGAACCTCCAAAAAACGTGAAACAAAGAAACCCGAAGGATTTCGATAGTGGAAATATCGTAGATATGCTAAGAAACAATGAACTCTTTCTCCAAATTTTAATAAACACACAAGTGTCATGTTTGAATCATTTCAGGAACTGCACACAATGTTTTTATCAGTAAAAAATCCATTTCTTGTCAAACATTAATGTTGATAAACAAAATTTGAAACAAACTGCCATCAGGTTAACTCGTTCATATTTTGTTTTTTGATTTGATACAAGCCGTCAAAGTACATGTATTCTAATTTGTATTTGTATATTTTTTAAACCTGAAATAATTTTAAAGTTAATCAAACTTAGCACAACCAACATGCTTCAAAGCATCAATGATTTTCATTAGGCACAAATTTGAATGATTTTCTTGAGCAGCTTTAGTTGCTGATGCTTCTAATACCCAAGAATTACATAAAACAGATGAGTTTAGATTTAACAGCTTAGCTTCTCAACATGGTTTAGGCTACAAATACTTAACATTCAGCAATTTTGTGTCCTGGTAAAAAAGCCTGATTCATTCGTGTATGAAGGTTTCAATTTGACGCAAAAAATGGCTAAAACAAAGTTAAATAAAAATTTGGCAAGACACAATTATGTTTTTTTTAAATAATAAAAATAGTTTGGATACCTAATATTAGGCAGTCCATTCAATGTGCAACGCAACTAGTTTCAGTTCCTATGGAGCCATCATTTGGACGTTTTTCTTTATCTTTCAAATTCAAATTCAAATAGTTTATTGCCATTAAGTATACATGTCATACAATAGGCCAGGACAACAACCTCTTTCCATGAGGATTGTCAAATTTAACTGACACAAATGTAAATATTGAAAAAGGGGACACACACACGATACATTTACGGTAACTGATCAGTAACAGCAGTGCAGAGGAAGACAACCGGTCCGAGTTTCCAGTCCAGACTGGTTGAAATTAAAACTTGACTGAAACTAGTTGCACTTTTAATGGATTGCCTAATGGCAGGTATTTGAACCTTTTCCAATATTATTTGGCAATCCAGAGGCCTACAGTGGAGAATGTTTTTGCTGTACACAATACATTACAAGTTTGGTAAAATTATAAATAACAAGACTTTATTTTCTCAACTAAACTGACTAAGTCACAACTTTAAAACATCCTATACGTTTGTGTGGTACAATAATTTAAGTGTGAATAGTATCTTTAACTGCTCTTTTATTTTTTGATGTGTATGTACTGTAAGACTATGTGTATGTAAACCTATTTATGTATTCCTTCGCCTACTGTTCAGTATTATTCAGTGTCGCTGAAATTATAATTGTATCAGCGAGTGTGTCCTATGATTCATCTGATAGCTTATCTTTCTTTATCTTCTGTTTTGTAATATTAACATTCTCTTTGTTGAGACTACAGTTTCTTATCCTATTAATTACTTTTATCTTACTGTTTGTTTTACATTCAGCATTTCATTACCTGTTCTCTAATCAGTTTACTCTTCTGTTTATATATTGCACATTTCTCTGTTTCTGTGCATAGTTGTTATTGTGGGAAGAGTATTTTTTCTAGTTGTTCTATTTACTAGTATTATTCTATCATGTAATAGCCTATTCTTTATGTGTCTATAACGTGTGTTAGACTTATGTGTTTAGAAATATTCTTGTTACAAATAGAATAATATTCTTTAGTACTGAGGATAAATTATTTGACTTCAGTACAACTGCTTAATTTTTCACACTGTGTGTTTTTTTCATCTTCTTGTGCATGTTTGTCATCTTTTCTTAATACTGTAGCTTTGAACATTGCCGTGTACAATATTTTATTTCGAGACATATACACTGACACAGAGAAATTGTTACACCCGAATTATAGTGTTTGTGTTTGAAGTTGTTGTTGTTTGTTAAAATAAAATAAAATGTTGTATAGGTATTTGTAATTTTAGAAATTATTTAAGCGAAATAGATAATCAATCCTGGTAGTGGATAAATACATTTTTAATATCTGGAGCAATCTCTGGTGTTGCCTCCTCGGCCAGGGCTAAGGGTTCGAATCCTGTTCAGTCAGGTCAGGTCACTGACCTTATTATGTGATATTATGTGACTGAGCTTAGTGAGAGAGAACCTAAAATGAACAGTGCCCAAATATTTTAATGCTTGACGGTCGTTAAATAAAAATTAGGACATAGTCTTATCTCAGCTTTTTAATAATCTCAGAAGTGGTAAAAACCTAATTAATTCGACATTTTGGCTTGTAAACTTCTACACAACCAAAAAGTTGATTGGCTTAATGACAGGATGTTGTACTGAAGTGGTATTTAAATCACGAACATGCAGGGCTAAAAATAACAAAGTTATTCATTAATGAGCAAGATTCTCTATCCATCAATATGTGTAAACATCACTATATTTGTTTTGCAATTCTAACTCGCCACTATAATTTGTTTTGGTACAATGAGGTAGATTTAAACTATCTATAATCAATAAATTGTGCATACAATCAATAAAAACTCTTTCTTTTACATATTTATAAAATATATACCTAGCAAACATAAACAACACAATTAATGACACACGGAGTTTATTTCCGGGTATTAACACGTTGAGTGCTATTAGCCTATATCAATTGATGTAGTTGCGCAACCCCCATTACATTAGTTCAGTATGAGCTCAGCCATTGCCGGGCTACGTCCAATCTCGGGGTAACGTAGTACAATCACCGCTCCTCTTTTGTTATTCGTCAGATTGTAATATTTGAATTCCAATTGTGCTCGCTGTTACGGTGCCGTGCCGGGGCTTTGCCCGGGCCTAGCCGCCATTGGCTAGTGCTTGTTGGAATGTCTGCCGCACTCAACATGTTAATACATTTTTGTATTATTATGTATAAAACAGCTTATTCCCTAAATGGGAAATTCGCTTAAAACAGTGTTTGACTAATATTTCAACACATGGACATAAACTCTGCGTGTCACCGATTGTGTTTTAAAATCAAAGGCACTGACAAAGGGTTAAAATATTCCTAAGTGAAAGACCTTGGAACTGAAGATTAATTCTATCTTGACTGTAGGTGGTGTGTATCCATGATCTGTCATCCATTTACCGAGTACCAGTCCTCATGGAGAAGCAGGGAATGGTGGAATTCTTCGTGGAAAGACTTCAGCTCAATGTACAGATGCCGAGGCCTAGGAAACTTATCAACAAATGGAGGGATCTTGCGGACAGGTATTGAGTACAATTTGTTCATTTGAGGATAGATTTTATTTGAGGGAATTGTTTAATTAGTTATACTGTTATAGAACCCATCATATCTGGTCGCTGAATAAACCAACCAACTGTAAAAAAGGATGTAACATACCTAGGCCTAGGGTTTTTAGGATTTTTAGTGAGTATATAAGGCTTACCTGAATGGAAAGTGGTCAAAACTACCATAAGAAACGCTAAACTTTACTCTATATACATAAAAGATTAGATTATTTCCCTGTCACTGACATCATTTTCAACTAAGGAAGAGAGAGTTGTTCAGGCCTAAGAACTTAAGCCTAAGAATATTAGGCATAAAAAGCTTATGTTGTGGGTTTGGGTCCTGGCGTTGGTACCAATATTAATCAGTACAGTCCATTCTACTGCACCAACTCACGCCTTATGTTCCACCTTAGTCATAAAGAACTGAATGCCAGAAACGGCGCGAGCCCTGAGGGCTTAGGTCACATGTTGGCATGACTTGAAGTAATGCGACAAACAATCCCAGGTTTGTGCCTAATTGAGTAGAGGCTTTTTTTGGTCATTAGTCTGATAAATTCTTACACTAAAGTTTTACACTACAGACTGGCTACATGTGTGCGTAAAACATTTTCCCTTCCCTCCGTAAGGAAAAAAAAGGTACATAAGACATAGTGGACAAGTTTTCATCAGATGATTTTTTTCTCAATTTTGCTTTAACACAGACAATTTACAACTGCCAATAAAAACATGTATTTTATTTAATTTTGCGATTAAATCTTGCACATTACTCTTTCAATAAAACTATCCTATCTCCTGATAATTTAAATATACTTGATAATGTACTTTTTTGGGTTGAATCATTGCAGATTGAAGTATCTGCCAGATTAAACTTTATAGGATTTCACATTTTGGAAATTAAATTTCCACCATAATTTCTTGCAGTAGATCATTTATACAATAATGCAATCGCATAATGGGTTCATAGAATGGATGGATAATTGAGCATGTGTTCACACCTGAACAAATATGTAATAGCTAAAAACCAATTGGGCTAAATTTGCATATCATGTTTAATAATTTTTATGTGCAAAAGTGATGTAATAAAATAACTACAAGTAATAGTAGTTGGCTTGAAACTAAAGACAGAAAATTTTAATTAAAAAATAACAACAGCACTTAGGCACAATTAATAATTAATCCACTAATTTGTCAATAATTAAAATAGAATAGCTTTATTCTGATATTTTAAGGTGGAAAATCCTTCAATTCAATAAAAATGTTAATTAAATGTAATTTTTGTTGGTAACGAATTAACATATGTTTCTATTTACATGTTAGAGGACTTATATTTTTAAATCCCCCCCCCCCTAGCACACCCCTACTTCACTCAATATTTGATAGCCTATAAACTTGTAGTTCTTATAGAAAAGAAATAAGTGAAGTTAAAAGGTGTAATAACGGATATTTTTGAAGAATATTTCATTTGGTTACTCTACCTCCAGAATGCTTCTGTTAGTATCCTATCTGTACTACATAGGTCTTTTGATTCTAACTAAGTAAAAATTAGTGCACATACACATTTTCGGATTCCTATTGCATCAGTCGAATTACACAAGTTTATTTCCTAAGCATATTTTCCATATTTTATTCCTGTCAAATAAAAACTGACTAAGATATAAAGTATTATAAAGTAAAACTGCAGGAACTGGGTGTGTGAGGAAGCGACTAGCCTAGTGTGGCTGGTGCAGTAAGATAACATGGGTAGCGTATTTGTCGCCGCGACCTAAAAAGCTCCTTACACATTATTTTTTTGCAAGTGGTCGTGGGCCGTCTTCATTTAATTTAATACATTTCTATTCTTTGTGGCAAACAAGTCGCTTAGTGTGGCTGTAGCTTTAAACAGATATGAGTAAGATTACATTTTCCCTGTATGCTTATAGTTGCATTTGTACAGGGTGGACTCACTACGACGAGATGTGAAGATCAGTTTGGTCGGAAAGTACACCAAGCTGGAAGACTCGTACGCTTCTGTCACCAAAGCACTACAGCATGCAGCCATTGATGTTGGCTACAATCTGAAGATATCGGTTCGTAATTACCTAAGCTATTGGTGTTCAGAGTGAGGTACTTGGGTTTTCAAGGCTTCTGAATCCTGCTTATGAACATTGACTTTTGGTTATGTGATAACTCGTAATTGTTACTGAGTAGGTGTATAGTTGGCAGAAATGTTTACGACGATTTAGAATATTGTCTCAGTAGAGTAGGGAAGCAGGATGAATTCATTTTGAGAATGGGCATATTTAAGCTAGCTTACCTGAGATAATTATAATCCAAGGGCTTCTAGATACACAATAAAAGGTATCAAACTTAGCTTTCACTTTTCACATACATTTGTAGATATATCAGTTACAATCAAGTTTGCACTGTTCGGTATCTACAGCTGTTACTGCTTATCATAACAATACAGTTTATTAATTTAGCACATATGAGGGAGTACCCAAAAAAACACAATTTAAAAGAAATATTTATATATTTACAAATTATTTACACTTCAATCTTATTCCGTTCAAAGTACTGTCGTTGTCTCAGTGGTTTTTCCACTGTTACACAATTATTGAAGTCATATTTTGAAATAGCTTCCAGCTTCTCCTTAGTTTTTTCTTGACATCTTCAATGGTGTGTAATCGTTGTCCTATCATACCTCATTTCATGCGTGAATAAAGAAAACATTCACACGGAGCCAGGTCAGGTAAATATAGTGCTTGTGGTGACTCAACTATCTCGTTTTTAGCCAAAAACAAGCGAAAATTGGTGGCTGTGTGCGCAGCGCAGGTGCATTGTCATGGTGAAAAAACCAGTCTCCTGTCTACCACAGATTGGGTCATTTTTGTCGAACACTGTTGCACAATCTTCGTAAAACTTCAATAGAATTTTCGATAGCCTCATAAAAAGACTTATTCATGGTCTGACGTAAGGGAACAAACTCTGAATGAACAATCCATTTGCATCACAAAAATGAATCAGTATTGTTTTGATGTTTGGTTTGACCTGACGGCAATTTTTGGACAGGGTGAAAATGGCGTCTTCCGTTTCCATGAATGTTGCTTTGTCTCTTGGTTGGACCACAGTCATCTTTGTAAGCTGTTTCACACATTTTTACCCAGTAGAAAACAAAACGTCGCAGCTGCTTGTTCACTTTTTTACCTGCCATTCCAAAAACAAAACACTAGCAAAATGGCGGTTAGAAAAAATGTCACTACAGACGAATACAACCAGCCAGCTTGACAGCAGCGCAGTAGTGCTGAACTAGCAGTGAGTTGCGCCGTACACACTTGGCGACTGAAGCACGTATTATGTGAGCTCCGCCTATGGCAACGCTATTACGATTGTTTCTTCAGTACCCCCTCATATTGTATGATTTTCAATGTATCCATCCATTTTTGTTAACATTTTATGGTTTGGACTTTTTTTAGTTTAGACAAAACGATCCATTTCCAAACGAGAGAGTACTGTATCTTATTCTACTAGAGCTGAGATACATAAATGAGTTTTTCTTGTGTGTAATAAGTATCTCAATTTATTTTTACTATCTGTATTTATGAAGTTTTCTATTCAAAGCTTACAGTTAAGATTTGCAATTGTTTTCAGTACATAGAGGCGGCAGATCTAGAAGATAGTACAAACCATTCAAATCCTGTCCAGTACCATGAAGCCTGGCAACAGCTTTGTAAGAGCGAGTGAGTATCATTGATTATATACTACAATTGAATTTATATAAGTCTATTTATTTTTACCAGTTGTTATTGGTTGTTAGCTTGTGGGTTTGTTGTTGTTTCAAATTTATTTATTCTCATTAGTATACTTTTTGTTATTTTGTCTGTTGTTGTTTAGCTGGTAGGTTTGTTATTGTTGTTGTTATTACATCGTTATTATATTGTTGAATTTATTCTAGTCTATAAGCACAAAATTTGTTATTATTGTCAGGTTTATCAACTATGTATTCTAGTCATTCACTTAGTAATGAACTTGCACAGATTTTGTTCCTATTTGCATTAATGACTGTTAGGAAGCTAAGTTTCTTTTATTTACACATGAACTATCTCATCCTTTCAAACTGTTTACTTTTTGTTCTTGTTAAATGTTACGATATAAGCCAACCTGAGTTGTACTGATTTGATTTGCATGGTTGTAAAATGGAGATGTCCGTTGAAATAAATAAATAAACAATTAAACAATAGATGTTAGGCCTGATGCATTAGACTGTGAATAAGGCAAGCAATAATTTAAGTCGTAAGAGACAAGTACTAAAATGTACCAGTTGCTGCCGGCTCCTTGTATTCATGGAGCAAAATATCTTTTTTCAACACTTCTGTGAAAGTATTGTGCCGATTTAAAAGTCTGAGGTGTCACAGAGATTCGGTCAATATTAATTTGTACATAAATGTTTTGAACTTTAAGTATTTAAACTAAGATATTGTGCCATGATCTTCAGGCCCAAGTTAGCGATGTTGTTGGTTCGGACCCTAGACACTGCCACTACTTTTTATCAGTACAGTTCACCCTTGTGCTGTACTGGCTCACCCCTTGCTTGGTTGAATGATAAGTTCCACGCACAGGCCTCTTTTGCGGGCAAATGCTAGGTAAAAGAGGCCGCCAACCTCTTATAAAAACATAAAAAAAACAATAAAAAAATATTCATAAAATGTCAAAAACCATAATCAAATTTCAAAGATTTTATACTCAATTCAAAATAGGTTTCACCTACCTCTGTCAAATAGTCCAACTATTAAACTGCTCAGTAGCACTTCTTTTGTTGTGAATACAACATTTTCAAAGTTTGCAATGTTCGTCAAAATCTGCTACCATATTACTGAATTAGTCAGGCGCACGGGATTGGTAGAAGACTGAAAGACTACGTCACGTTGTCTCCTCTCCTTTTGTTATCACAGGTGTTATCAGGTCTAGAGTGAGCTGTTTTTGAATTTTTGTCCCACCTTTAAATCCTTGGACACTAGATTCTAGCCGGGAGCTGTTTTACACATTACTTCAGGCTAGTCTTAAAGGGTTGCTGCATTAATATAGATGAAATCCATTGGTGATTGGCAGGATTTGAACCCAGGACCTTCAAGCTCATAAACACCGCGCTCTACCACTGTACCAGCTCGCTCCCCAAACTGTTTTTGAATGTAAAATTGTATTGAGTGAGAACAGATCTGTAACTTTTCATTGAGAATGTGGTCATTGTAACTGTACATTGTTCGTCATTGTACGTTTTATAAATCTCAAAATCCTCCGGGGTGACAAGCTATTGCTATTGGACTATTTTAGGGAACTATATAAAACCTAGGCTTCCAGAGGCCAAAACATGAATTTTGATCTTTAAACAACAGATTCTTTGTTTCAGTGGAGTGATTGTGCCAGGAGGATTCGGCAAACGAGGCATGGAAGGAAAGTTGGCTGCTTGTGCTTGGTGTCGTAAAACCAAAAAACCATTCCTCGGAGTATGCCTTGGACTACAAGCAGCTGTCATTGAATTCTCAAGGTTGGTTACAAACACTTAATTGTCATAAGCTACAGTTACTACTTATATCAAAACTGAACTGAGACTTTTCATCCAAAGTTTTATAACAGTACACAGTAAGCAGCTGATATTATTGTGTCTTTGTAGACGAGAAAGTTTTTATTTACAGAAAAGGCTTGTAAAAATCAGCTTAATTAGCCCAAATACAGGACACTTAAAAAAGGAGTAGGTCTAGTATGAGTTTCTTCTTTAGACTCTCTATGAGCTACATGATACTAGACATGTTTGGCTAGGCACACTACACTTTAACAATAAATATTGGAACAGTTTAAACATTTTACCTACTTAACAAGATTAAAATTCTGTAAAACTGTGTTAAACAGTGTTGTAATTGTATATATGGGTTGTGTTTGATTTATTCTGTATATTTGTTGCTGTAGTGTGGCGAAAACGCGTATACAACTCGATGGGAAGTTGTTAACAGTACATGCGTTAAATCACAAGTCTTATGTCACTGTAAACACTTCCTTTCCAGCCATGTGACTAATATAATCTTTTCGTTCTTAAAAATGTTTGAATAGGCTTAGATTAAGATTATAGTTGTTAAAAAAATATAAGTCATTAATTGTTCAAAAATATACAAATAACATCAATTTATTGGTAAATAATGTGTTTAGTTTAAAAAAAGTAAAAACTGATAACACTGACTGATAAATTGTACACAAATATGACAGAGAAACGTTTTCAATGTTTTGAAAGTGTGACGTTTCTTTAGGAATATCCTGAAGCTAGAGAACGCTAACTCCACAGAGATAGATCCGGAGACAAAACACCCAGTGGTCATAGACATGCCAGAACACACCCAGGGGGACATGGGAGGAACTATGCGGCTGGGCAAGCGGAAGACCATCTTCTGTGACAAACCTCAGTTCACCTCCAAGATCAGTAAGTAGTTTGTGATGTGTCCAAATGTAGGAATAGTTTTGGTTTCAAGATTCGATCGCTGAGTTTCGAGAAGTTTCCGTTTTGATATAAAGTAAGTCACAACCCTTTTGTCTTCGGTTGTCTCTTCTCTAAAGACGTTGTGGATACAAACATTAATTTTTTCTCCTGTCTGCTCTCAAAATAATGTGCAATATCCATCAAAATCCTTAAAGTGAAAAATATTAATCATGTTTCTTATTTTTTTCCCTCACAAAACGTAAAGATAAATAGTAATTTATGTACATTATTAAGTCTCAATACAATTTTTAAGCTGGTAGCAATGGAGCTAACAGATCACCACCAACACTAATGAAATTCTGGACTTTAACAGGAACAAGACTAAGAGGGTTTCAAAATGTTTTATCCATTAATGTTTTAGCCCTTCATCTCAAGGGTCATGATTCAAGAAAGTAATCAAGTTTATTTTTAAACATTAATAAGTGTCTTTGGAATAACAGTCACATCAGCCCTGTTTATAAATTCAGGGAGTACACAGATAGTAGTTGATTATGTTAAACATTACTTTTTATGATCCCTTAAGGTAGTAATGACAACTGCATACGATGTTGTAATTGTGAGGGCAAATTATAAACAGGTTCAGGCTCTTCCTTCTACGTCATAAGTATATTTCCGACACAACATGCTCGCCGTTCAGGCTCTTCCTTCTACGTCATAAGTATATTTCCGACACAACATGCTCGCTGTTCAGGCTCTTCCTTCCTCGTCATAAGTATATTTCCGACACAACATGCTCGCTGTTCAGGCTCTTCCTTCTACGTCATAAGTATATTTCCGACACAACATGCTCGCCGTTTAGGCTCTTCCTTCCTCGTCATAAGTATATTTCCGACACAACATGCTCGCCGTTCAGGCTCTTCCTTCCTCGTCATAAGTATATTTCCGACACAACATGCTCGCTGTTCAGGCTCTTCCTTCCTCGTCATAAGTATATTTCCGACACAACATGCTCGCCGTTCAGGCTCTTCCTTCCTCGTCATAAGTATATTTCCGACACAACATGCTCGCTGTTCAGGCTCTTCCTTCCTCGCCATAAGTATATTTTTTACACAACATTCTCACCATTCAGGCTTTACCTTCTTCGTCATAAGTATATTTCTGACACAACATACTAGTGCTGAAAGTGTATGTTGGTCCCATAATCAACTTTCCTCTGTACCTTACATTTCTGTGGGTACAGCGAAATTCAACTTATGGTAAGCTATCTTATTCCAGTGATGCTCAACCATTTGATAATGCCAACAAAAAACAAACAAAACTATTTGATTTACTTTTTCATTTTATTTTACGTGTAGTTTATAATTGGAGGCTTGATTACATTTCAGGTTTTAAAATACTAACATTCAATGTAACACTGTATTTACTACCACGAATATGCATAAAGTTAAAAGTTGAAATATGTTCAGTGTTTTTGTAGACATTTAACTTCCTCAAATGTATTCAATGCACAATAAGCTTCGGTTGACGGCACGCCGGGTGCCGGGACCCAGAGTCTGCCTCTAATGCATTGTGACTACATGGTGGTCTTTTAAAATTTTGTATGTCCTATTTTCACATCCTAGGATGTTAGGCTCTAGCCGGGGATTTTGTTTCACATTACAGGCTAGGCCCTAGAGGTTGTGGCATTATCACATGGATTAAATCCATTAGTGATTGGGGGGACCTGAACCTGTAACCTCAGGGACTGAAGCCAGTAGAACCAGTAGACCAGGGCACTACTACTACTTTATGATAACTGACCATTTTTGGACAACTGTATTGAATTTATTGATTACTTGTTATTACAGGACAACTATATAGCAACAAGGAGTACATTGAAGAGAGACATCGACACAGGTATGAAGTCAACAAGGACTACGTAGAACAATTGGAGGCTGCAGGGCTCAAGTTTGTTGGTAAGCTGAACAATTCCTTTCAGGTTTTATAACATTAGTAAGGCAGTGTGTGTGACTTAAATACAAACTTTTTAATTTACTAAGTAGGCCTACCTCATTCTTGTACAATTGTTTTGCTTAATACTTTCCACCATTGGCTCTTGGATACTCAAGTACATATCATCTTTAGCTGCAGCCAGTATTGTTAAAATTTAACATGGCTGAGTGAGCCCCACTCATAATGTGTTACTAGACTAGACTTATATTTTATCTTCTATTTTTTTGTTACTGATAATTCATGGGTAAATAATGCGGATGCTTATGTACAAGGATAGGGATCAGCTAGCTTACCTGGTAGATAGAGTCCAGATTAGCTTTGGTAACACATACAAAACACATAAAACAACATAGTAAAATTGAATATTTCGTGGTTTACAATTAGTTTTTTTTTTTCAGTTTGGCTTGGTCAAAAAGCTGGTGTATCCCACAGAAATTTAAATAAGAAAACTCTGTTGGTTTCTCTATTAAACTATCTATTAAACTCTTAAACTATTAACAACTTCTAAATGGTAATGGAATGTGTTGTTCTATCCATAGTCGTAGGACTGAAGCCCGTGTGGACGGGCAAATTCAAGTTTAAAAGATGATGCCGCTAACAACTTAAAAACGAATGTTAAATATAATTTTGGTCCATTCTTAGAGATTAAAAAAAAGTACTTAAAGTTTGTATTTCATGTATTTAAGCATGAAAGCATCCACAAAAGTAGACTAAAGACAGAACTAGTGAAATCATACTCATATTGATGCAGTGCTTACAAAACTTTTCAGTTTAGCAACCTTTTTTGTGACCCATCTATTAGCATAATAGCATAGACAAAAAGAATTAAATATAGACCATTAGCTGTGCTGCGGTTACCATAGGTTCTGGCGCACACCACTGGGAGCGCCATGTAGTTACGGCGTACACGCTACGTAACTACACGGCACTCCAAGCGGTGTGCGCAGGAACATATGGTAACCGCAGCACGGCTGACAGTCTATATTTAATTCTTTTTGTCTATGATAATGATAATAGGCACAACAATAGCGAAAAACCAACACATAATAGCATAATAGGCAATTATTAACATAGTAGACTATTATTATTATAAGTTTATTAATACTATCATGTACACTGAGGAAAATACAACTAAATGAAAACTTGAGGATGATGCTACAGTAGACCCAATTTAGTTCAATTTATTCGTACATATTGTGGCAGACTATTAAGCAATAGCATCTTGTTCATTTTGTGCACTTATTATCAACAGTAGGTTCAAAGAAAAATTTCTTCCTCCTTGTATCTAAAATATATGTACATTTATTACTTTGAACTTTTATCATGAAATCATTAATCTCAGGTAATTGTATTACTTTTTTACTAATTGTTATGGAAATGTGTCAGGCACGGACGAGGTGGGTGAGAGAATGGAGATTCTAGAGTTGGAGGATCACCCGTACTACGTAGCCACCCAGTACCACCCGGAGTATCTGTCCCGGCCTCTCAAACCATCCCCACCCTTCCTAGGACTGATCCTGGCGTCTGTGGGGCGACTCAACACCTTCCTCACTAAGGGCTGCAAATTGTCACCTCGTGAGAGCGACAACGACTCAGACTACATTGACTCAGGTACTGTTCGGACAAATATGGTTCACAACTCCTTTGAGGAAAGATTTTTTAAATGCCAGCCAAACCCTGCCATGGAGGTAAAATTCCATAGGGCTTTTGCACAACTCATATTGTATAACTCAAATGTTTACGGTAAAAATTTGCCCCTTGGGTGTGACGCCAACTTTTCCGGGGTGAAATTCCAGGGGTGTAAAATTTTGCTACACTAGCAATCCTGAAGAATCGTTAGATCAGGTTGACACAGGTTAAAATGTTTTAGTAAATAGGGAAATACAGGGTGAGGCAGTAAAATGGCACAATTTTGAAAAATCACAAATAATTGATTTAGAAAAAAAAGGATAGTCGTTTTAACATAAATCCTAAGTGCATGATTGGAAATTAATGTTTCACCATAAAAATTATTATATTTTTCAATACAGTAGTAAAATGGTGTACTTGGTTTTGCGTTGTTGAATTATGAATTGAAATCAGCCCATGAAGTTTTTTAGCGAATTTCCCTATAGGGAAGTAGCTATTACCGTAGGTGGCACGGTAAGACCTAGACCCGGGACCGATTTACTTTTTCATTTTGATGTCCCCAGAGGCCAAAACCACCATTCGTTCAAATTTTTACCTCCGTGAACGCGATAACTTGAGTAATTTTTGTCCGATTTTGATGAAATTTGGTTTAAAGGTGTAAAGCGGGATAAACTTGAATGAGTTCGCGAACCAGCATGATCGGACCATGGGAACGGGGCTTTACGGGGGGTTTTATGGGGTAAAAATTGGTTTTTCTCACTTTTGACCCTCAACCCAAAATTTCCCAATTTCTCTTTAGACCTTTTTAAAGAGCATAAAAAAACAATTACAGTCCAACCTCAGTATAACGAATCTGAAGGGACCAAACTGAATATTCGTTATATCAAGGATTTTGTTAAAACGAGGTTCGTTATATCGAGGTTAGGTTTGCAGGAATTTCGCTAAGACGAGGTTCAGAACCAGCGTCGGTCAATATATAGGTCAGGATTTGACCTCATTAAAATACAATTAAAGTAGCATAGGCTACAATACTTTACAGTACAGTGTTTACATTGTACAGTGGAACCTAAATTATCCGGCATGGCATAGTAAAGGGGAGGGATCTTGAATATTGCGCAATCATGACAATGGCATTGACCTTGGTACCGGTGAAAAACTGTAAGTTTAAAATCACAGCTTGTTCTAACCCTCCTAAAACCTAGCCAAATACTGTATTGCGTAGTCATAAACCATGTAAAGAACGAAACAAAACAGTAGAAAGTTTTGAAAGCTACTGCTCGCGATAGGCCGGTAGGCTACTTACAGTACAGTACTGATTTATCACAACAGAGTAATGTCAAAAATAATCATTAACTATAGCATTGGTGTTGCTAGTTGAAACAAATCGTATTGAAAACAATAAATTATTAGATAAGTCATTATAAAAATGTATAATAATAGCCAACTTAAGGATAATAAAAACAGTCGTAAATGGAATGTTAAGATAACGATGTTGCTATTCTTTCTCTTTGGGTTTGTTTTTATATTCTTCCTTAGTTTTCTCTTTATCCAAAAATTGTACAATGCACCATAGTTATCCCATATCGCCCAATCACAGCTTACTAAACATTACGTCGTCATCAGTCCTCAGTAAATGAAATCAGTTCAGTTCTCAGTTGCAACATAGCGCGCGCAGCGACAGCAGACAAAGAAGATGTAAAACCGAGCAGACGAATGTTAGCGCAAGCGATGACGTGACCTTTCCATTTCATTTGATAAAGAAACAGATTTTCCCAAAACAATAATTGGGTGGGGGATTTGTTATATCGAGGGAAAGACTAGACAATTCGCTATGCAGAGGTTAAATTCGCAATGTAGAGGTTCTGACAATGACAAATTCGTTATATTGAGGTGTCTTATTTTAGCCGAAATCACGAAAAATTCGTTAAATCAAGGTCGTTGTTATGGTTTGTTCGTTATGTAGAGGTAAAATATACATTGTGTCTTATGGAGAGTTCTAAGGGATTAAAAAAAAATCGTTATATCAAGGAATTTGTTATATCGATGTTCGTTATATCAAGGTTAGACTGTAATTTAGTATATAAAAGTATTTTTGTTCGGTTAATAGTAACGGAGAAAATTAAAAAAATTGTAAATTTAAAATTCCCATGTTATTCTTATGGAGAATATTGTAAAATGTTGTAGTTTGCTTGTTTATGGATATATTTTGTATTTTGATCAAATTTATTTATTTTGTACTAAGCTATCAATATTTTACAAAAAAACACACTTTATTAGTTTCCTTGTAGCAGCAAACCTAGGTACTCGTTAAACCTAATGTTATTAAAATATATTTAATTGAAAATCAATTAAGACAAATGGGAATTCGCTTAGTCGGCAGGTTTGCTGCGGCAGGGGTATTTAGTGATTACATAGCGTCTGCAATCGTTTTATAGCGCTTTGTCCTGCTAGCAGTGGCTTCAAAGTTATTCAACCAAAGGAGGATAGCTTTTCTTGATTCGTCAATAGACTGAGCTCACAGCGGAAAGTGCTCTGAGCACTAACCACACTATCCATGTTTTTGTAATATGCCTTTACAGCAAACGTGTGTTGTGCACTCGTCCAACGCTCCATGGCTACTGAAATTTCCACTTGTCTAGACGCCTATGGTCATGTCCCTCGTACTCTAATAGCTCCCAATTCCTTGTCAGCTGGTTTTGGAATCGTGCTGTTTTACTGCCTCATCCTGTATATGAACATTACAGAATTATCTGAATTAATCTTTTGTATTGGAGATATTCTTTTAGATATTTGAAAGTATCAACAGGGACTGGTATCAGTTGCCAAGTATGATGCAAGTTTGGTGAATCCTGCCAACCAATGACTGTTTTGTTTGGATAAAATCTGACAATGCAGTGAGTGACCCTTCAACACCAACCTTACTCCATAGTTCCGCCTACCTAGAAAATAACCGTATTCTATTGCCTACAAAGCAATCAATTATTGGTGATCATTGTTATGTACGTGTAAAAATGCATATTACTGTGGTTTGAAGTATTGAGATAACCCATAAAGACATAACTGTTTGTGATGTGTTCTCAAATTAGGTATTTTTTGTTGATTCCAGATATATAAACAATAAGTTGATAAAATCTTTATGTTTAATTTAATCCTTTTATTTCAGATATGGAAAGCAACGCCTCCAAAATAACCAACGGAGACGAGGTTAAGTCATCGGAAGGCCAAAGTGCCTCCTCATCTGAATGAGTGTAAACAGTTAGTTCACAGCTACTGGTGAGTTTACAAACGTATGTCTGTTTATACCCTATCTCTGTCCTGTATTTCATTAGTACTGCTGAATTAGCAGTTTGATCTGCAGTGTAGTGGGATTTAAATACTATAGGCTATATAACCTCAATAAAAAAAAATTAATCCTCTCCGTGCGTATCAAGTATCCTGGTACCGAGGTTTTTGTAATGATTATTTATTATGTTCGTCTTTCCGTTTTTGTTGTAATTCAATGTGTGACATCGATGGATTTTTTAACTTTGACAAAATCCTTTGGAACGAAATTTGATGTTCTTGACAGCCGGATGAAGTTTCCATTGGGAACGAAACTGCAGTAACCTACAGACTACTAGGGATCACTCTAACAGTAAATGTGTTTACACCATTATTTATTACTGCACCAGTGATCCGGAGGCTAACAATATGAAAAAAACACAAATCCTTTACCAGATTATCTGGAGCATATTGTCAAATACTTCAATACGTCTGTGACGCATAGCGCTACTCGGCTATATGGCGCGACGACCTCTATCTTACGAGCCTGCCGTTAAAAGTTTCGCTCAGTCTGTCGCCAGCACTCTTTCGCATTACAACAGACATTTGCGAGATTCTCGCTCTCGATTCGCTACCTTCCTCTCAAAAGCAGCCAATTAGGGAGTTGTCGCCTCATTACATTATGGTTTCTCAGATAGGTGTAATTTAGGTGTAGGGAACAATTTTATGATGACAGGCTAAGTTAACTAAAGGGGGGTGCCGGCAGCCTTTTGCCCCTTCGCTGGAAATGAAGGAATATTAATAAATACAGGGTGTCTAGTAGTCGGGAAAATCGGGAAAGTCGGGAATTAGTATTGAATTTCAAAATGGTCTTGAAAAGTCGGGATTTAGTCTTAAATTTGATTTCAAAGTCGGGAATTTCGTTTACGTAACCGCAAAAGCCAATGATGATGTCTACACGGCCTCGGGAAATATTCACGATTTTGCCGCGATAGTGGACGACGACGATGACATTTCCGCGATCGCGGACGACAACGATGACGTATCCGTGACCGCGGGAGACGACGATGATATCTGCTCGGCCGCGGGAAATGTTCATGATTTTGTCACGATCGCGGACGACGACGATGACGTTTCCGTGACCGCGGGAGATGACGATGACGTTTCCGTGACCGCGGGAGATGACGATGACGTTTCCGTGACCGCGGGAGACGACGATGATGTCTACACGGCCGCGGGAAATGTTCCTGATTTTGCCGTGATCGCGGACGATGACGATAACGTTTCCGTGGCCGCGGGAGATGACGGTGATGTCTATACAGCCGCGGGAAATGTTCATGATTTTGCCGCGATCGCGGACGACGACGATGACGTTTCCGTGACCGCGGGAGATGACGATGACGTTTCCGTGACCGCGGGAGATGACGATGACGTTTCCGTGACCGCGGGAGACGACGATGATGTCTACACGGCCGCGGGAAATGTTCATGATTTTGCCGCGATCGCGGACGACGACGATGACGTTTCCGTGACCGCGGGAGACGACGATGACGTTTCCGTGACCGCGGGAGACGACAATGATGTCTACACGGCCGCAGGAAATGTTCATGATTTTGCCGCGATCACGGACGATGACGATGACGTTTCTGAGACCGCGGGAGACGACGATGATGTCATTGATGTTTACAAGGCCGCGGAAAATGTTCATGATTTTGCCGTGATCGCGGACGACGACGATCACGTTTCTGTAACCGCTGCAGTCAATGATGATGTCTAAACGTACGGTACGTGGAAGTTTTCATGATAAAAAAAAACCAAATTCGCTAGTTAGAATTTTTTATTGCTGCATTATTTCTTTACTTGAAAACACCACATTATCATAATACTACTTTATGACAAAGACAGGGGTTGGTGTAGTATTATTCAGAAAATTAGGTTAAGCTATTAAAATTGGTATCGGTATCAAGAATCGAGAATCGATACATTTTGGTATCAACGCCCACTAATTGTTGAAAAAACTAGTCTTGAAAAATCTGGAATTAGTCTTGAAAAGTCTGGAATTAGTCTTGAATTTTATAATGGAAATAAACTAGACACCCTGTAAATAATTGGTCTCGCTTAACGAGCCAATCCATTCATTCTTAACACGTAGAAATACCGAAAACCGACTAGTGAATAGAAACAATCAAACTGAAACCAAACCGATGAAATCAGCAACCAACTTATCACTACCAAATAGCAATCCTTCACCAGATTTTCTGGATAGATCTTGTCACCTCTGATACCTTATGCATTGTACAATATTTAAAAACATTTTCTTTACATTATTATGTGGCCAGCAAAGACAATGCATGGGTGTTATAAGCCCAAGATTTGGTCAGTGAATTCTTCAAGAGAGTAACAGCTCTTCTTCAAAAGCAAATTGGTCAGTCTCTCTTTCAGCGGGTTTTATGGCAAAGTATGTACTTGTTCACAAGCAGTTCAAACATCTATTGATAAAGGGATAAGTCAGCTTCTTCTATAATCAATGAGCTGATTGTCTTGGTGCAATGTTTTTTCCTTGTTTTCAGAGTGAGGATCTGTATAATTGTTTTTATGTGATAGAATTGTCTATTGAAGCTAGGAAGCATAGGCTCCGTGTGTTTTTGTTGCAGCTTCATCGTGTCTAGATGATTCAATTTCATTCAAAGAATCTTTATTTGTTTGTAGCATCGAATACGCATAAATAGTGTCAATGGTGTTGAAAAATTTAAAACAAAGATATCTTAGAATAAACAATGAAAAAATTAACATTACTTCCTACAACTCATTGAAAGAATAAATGGATTTTTTGATGAGGTACTGCTTCAATTTAATTTTGAATTTTTTACTTGATGCTTTTTAGAATTTTGTTATACAATTTCGAACCTGCATATTTCGGTTTCTTTTTTGAAAAGTTCCAGAGGGTGAGAGCTTATTGCAACGCAGCCCCGATTTCTGGTGTTATATTCTGTTCATGATTATTACTGATTAGCTCCAATTCCTGAAATCTATATTTAATGATAAAAATGTTTCGTAAACATATGTTCCATAAACCGTCATTATGTTTTCTAATAAAAAATATTCTTTAACTGAAGTTGCACCATACAGAGATAGCTCAAAGGATATCACTGAATGAATGAAAGAGAAATAAACAACTTTCAGAGATTCTTTTTCTCAATAATTTTTTAACCTAATCAATGCGTAGAAGCCAGAAAAAAATTAGTGAGGGTTCAAAATGAGGGTTCAATTTGAGTATACTTTATATTTCTAAGCCCAAAAATTTCATACTGTCTTTGACTTAAATTTTGTTATTAAATATGGCAACATTAGGTTGAACTATATTTTGAGCTGGTCGATTTTAAAAATAAATAATAATAGTTTTTTCAGGATTCTAGAGCAAATTAAATTGTTGGCATTATAAAAAAAACTGTTTAGATTCTAATTCAGCAACGGTGGAAATTGGTATCATCAGCATACAGCCTCTTGTTCTATGTCAGAACTGATAACAACTTCTTAAGCTACAGCATCTTCCTCAATTATTGTAGCAACTTCCAAGTTTTGAGCAGTGTTCGTCATCTGTAGAGCTTCAATATACTCCACTTTACCATCAGCTGATTTTCATATACAAACTTTTCTCCAGCAACTATTTATTCAAGTAGATTCTTACCGATCAAGACTGAGCAGTCTAATGTGTTAATTCTTGTGCATTTCAGCCAAGATATAATTAATTAGGCTGAGGGTACAAACACACCTCGGTCAGGTCTGGCGTTAGGGAGAGCTTGAAAACTAAGTTTTATAATCAGCTGGGTAACCGAGTAGAAATAGTGCTTACCTATTTATCAGAATTGCTGGTTCGATCCTGAAAGAAGTCAACAATTTTTGAAGGTTCAAAACTGGACCTAGCTGTCCTTGATCATTGGGCTTTATATAAATGATCCTTACTAGAATATCAGCTGATCTCGGCCAGCTGCAAAGTTATCATTTAATTCATTCAACACTCATTATTGTTCATTCATCTTTGTGTTAAAATACGCACCCTAATGTGTTACTGCCTATGAATATAATATAATCGTCTCAAGTAAAATTAATTGCTAACAAGTAATTCCCCCATTTCCTTGTTAAAGAATTGTTTTACCATACTAAATGTATTTATCTTTCTTTACAGGTGCACCAGCTTATTCTTCTCTCTCACTTTAGTATTAAGTGGTATCTAAACCTTTAGGACAATTTTTCCTAGCTAATTTTTTCAATATCCTACTTGTTAAGGATAACTATCTAGGCCGATGTACTTTATCCAAAGTATATGCGTTGTTCTATAGATCAACTTTAGACACAGGTAAACATGAGGTGTTTTTTTGAACACATATCGCATAAGCAATGCATTGCGATATAAGCTTGTCACTTTTGAGTTTTTATTAGGGTGGACAAGAGGGTGTTAAAGATATCGCTAAATAAATTTTATTTTTGTATATTATCATGTATTTGATAAGTGTGATACTGACTAGATTTCAATTATACTTTGGATTGTTGTAAAAAGTAGGACAAGTGTTACATTTCCATGATACAGTTAGAACAAAAGAGGTTTAGATAGAAAATAAACTGGAGGTTATGTACACAGATTTGTACTAGTTTTGTAATTTTATTTTTGTAGATATTTTATCTCGGATTTTTGTTCTTTGTTTACGGTTTAAGGTACATAACCTACAACAATTGTGTAACATCTACCGGTAATTGTGTTAATTAGGAAATGAGAATTTTATTTGTAGGACGTAACTATTGCCATAATAGCAGAGTACAGAATTGTATAATTTTGATATAGATAAGTATAAAATGAAAATATACATTGAAATGTTAACTATCGTAACATAATAAATAAAAATATATTTTGTTTAATGGAATGGCATTCCATGGGTTGTATTTTAGTTAAACTTACATAGTCATATAATTTGTTGTGATATTGAGTAACTTTTAAGTTCGCCTTATAGGAAACGACTCAAGTAGGTTCTAACTAGGGGTCTGTGGTACAGAAAATTTAAGGACAGTACGGTTTGGTAAGGTACGAAATACCTCGGTTCTTGGTACAAAATTGATACAGTATGCGGCTACCAGTATTTTTGCCGTTTTCTTCTTTGGACTGTATTTAAACCATTATTTAAAATCTTAATACATTAACATTACTATGAAAATGGATGGGGAGCGAGCTGGCGTAGTGGTTAGAGCGCGGGACTTCAGTCCCTGAGGTCCTGGGTTCGATCCCCGCCAAGTCACCAATGGATTTGATCTAAGTGATAATGCCGCAACCCCTAGGTCTAGCCTGAAGTTAAGTGAAAAACAATCCCAGGCTCGTGCCTAGCGTCCTTAGGACAAAAAAAAAAAAAAAAGAAAAAACTATGAAAATGGATATTATCTTGCATTCTTCTTTTTCTAACAACAATTACAGTACTATACATTATTTAAACATTTTACTCCTGACAGGATTGTGTCAATAAAGGAACACAGTTAGGATCAAGGCTTACTACTAAGATAAGTCATAGCCATGATATATTGGTTTCAAAATTAGGTTATGAATTTTTAGAAATAAACATGTTTGAGGCAACAATTTGACAAGACAAGACAGCTGGTAACTTTTTTTCTAACACAATAAACTTGGTGTTTAATTTAAACTTTTAAAAACATATCAATGCATTCAGCACAAAGACAGTTGTATAAGCAAATGTGCCAGCTATGCACATTCAAACAGACGACATAATGAAAGACTGGAGGTTATGAATTATGATGAAGTAAATGCAAAGAGGAAAAATGTCAAACATCCAAACTTATATTATTATAATATTCATTGCAAATGTTTGACAATTTCTACACTAACATAGTTCCGTTTATAAAAAAAGAGTGTTATTAATTGTAGCAAAATCTTATATCCGAACTTAATACACTATAATTCCATGTAAAGAGAATTATAACAGATGGGATTGTGACGTATCAGACACTGCTTCCTGAAGAGTAATCTATGCTAAAGTGCAGTTCTAACCTCGGGCAGCTGACTTTGTCGGCTGCTAGGTTACTGTGTTTTGCACTCTACAAATTGATCGGGTCCCTGTTTCTCATTATATTTATCGGTTAAATGTTTGACAATGACTTAATTCACATATAAACTAAAAGCACACAAAAGAACAAGGGAATATAACGAAATAACATACCTACATAATAATACTGGAATGTATTTATAATTAATATTCCTTTGATAAGCCATTTAAACAACTCTTGCTTACATCGTCTGCTCACGTTGTGTGACAACTACGTAAATCATTGTGCAATCTGGCGTGTCTCATTACTCTCATTAGTTTTACCGTTTGACTTGAGAAAAGTAATTTTTCACTACGATAGTGAATTTAAAGCAATTAATTACTATAGGCTATACTGGACCAATGGAGGTAATTAGGCTAGAACTGTACCGTACCGACTTTTTCGGTGAACTGCAGACCCCTAGTTCTTACATATTTTATCCACCTTGGAAACCCCTCTGCCTTTGTATGTTGTCATAATTTTCAAATCAATTTTTAATGAAATACTATACATAATATTAGAATCATATTTAAAAAGGTAGTATTAAGATTTTTTACGTTTGAATTTTTGGGTTAAAATAAATTTATTACTAGTATATTTGTACCAAAATTACTTGGGTTCCTAGATATGTGATGAATCGTCAAGTTAATATACACAGCAGCGAAGGGTAGTTTGGTATGTGTCTATAATTTGTGGAATGTTAGTCATGTATTCCTCTTTTTCTTATTTGACATTGTTAGTTATATTTCCATTTTGTATTATTGTGTTTGTCATATTGTAGTTATTCTGACTTAAAGTGATTGAATGTTTTCATTCTTATTCATAAAGGTGTCCTTCAATTGCGTGATAAAAAATAATTAAAGTTTTTTAAAAAAGAATGGTGTAGGTTTCGTTGTTTTGCAAATTTTATAATCCTTTTTTTGAATACTTTTTTGCCCCAATCGTGGGCCCCCGTGAGGTTGCAACGTTCCCATGTCCCCAATTAGTACTTATCACTGGTTCTTACGTTGATTTAATTTTGAAATCACACACTTTAATTAACACCCTTAATCTTCTTATCAAACTATTTTGATCATCTGAATGGCATAGTAATGCTTGAGCCCTCTTTTATAATTTTTTTCCTCATGTTCTCAAGGCTTGCTTTTACAATGGTGTAATTTTTAATTTTTCTATTCAAGCCATGCTCAGGCAAATCTTTTTCCAAGTTATCAAGCTTCAACACATTTTGAGCCAACTTTTGGAAGTTTTTACCAAATTTAAGGTTGAAAATAACATGAATAAGTGAATAAATATTGTTTATTTCCGATATCACAAAACAATATACAATCATAATAATTTTAGAGAAATTTAAAGTTAAACATATACAAAGTTAGTATAATAAATAATTTTACATTATTTTTATAAATTACAATTTTGGTAATCTACAAGCCAGTTGTGTTCTTTCATTTTAAATTATATTGTTTATATGTAGTGTGTGGTTTAAGTTGATTCTCTAGTTTTTAAATGTTAAGGATTTCATTGCTTGAGTCAAGAACCCTTAAACTAAATAACTGTACAAACGTGGTCATGGTAGAGATCTTTGTAAAATCACGTCCAACAGCATGCAAAATACAGGGTGTCTCATAAATGAAAATTTATTTTACAAAGATTACAACCATTTTGTAAAAATAATTGATGATCATGTCAACAAGTTCTTCAACAGTTAAGCCTGGTTTACACGGGTCGAGTATTTCAGACGAGTTATTCGGCCCAGTTACTAGGCCCAGTTGTTGATTTGTTCAACTCCGCCCGGTACTTTACTAGACTGTCTACACGCATTCCTATTTCGAACAGCGACAGTGTAGGCACAGAGAAGTAATTTTATAATTTCTCTGTGTACTGTGGTGTAGGGTATTCCGTATACCGTAGCTTTCGTGTTAAATGTTTGAGTTTAAAATTGGACTTGAAGAGTTTAATGCTGAATTTATAAATTAATTAAATCACTGAATTAGATTATTAGAATTAAAACTGAATCACCCATTAAATTCAGGGGTTGCTTAAAAGTTTTTTTTTGCAAATAAGATAGACCAAAGTGGAAGGTGGTATTCTAAATAAGAATAAGATTTGTTACAAATTACTATAAGTTGCCTCCAAATAAAAAAAATTTTAAAACACACAAATTTTAATATATTTTTGATAGAAAACATTTTTAGGGAGTGAGCTTTTTAACAACCCATTGATTAATAAAATCGTTCCAGTAGAACTTAAGTTGTACAACAATTTTGAAAACTAAATTTCATAAGAGTGAGTAGATTTACGAACAGCAAGACAATGCAACACAGGGTCAACTGTTCTACTGAACCATTGAGTATTGAGGGTGATTTGATTAGGCATACACTACTGAACTAACCCCAAAAATACTGATCGTTGTGATCGACTCATTGTCAGCGACCACAAAATAAAAAAAAATATTTTTATTCTGTGGTCACTTGATAGCAGTAAACAGGTGTTTTGCGGGCAAATCGTGGTGGTGGGGGTAGCTACTGGGCCGAGCAACTCGGTTTTCAACTAAATCACTCGACTCGCTCTCAACTGACCTTTTTTTATCAACTCGCCCGTTGCTCGACTCGCCTGCATGTCTTCACCAAGCGAGTTAAAGAGCGAGTGGCAACTCGCACACTGACTCGCCCGCCGTACTCGACCCGTGTAAACCAGGCTTAAGTGCAAAGGTTTTATTTTATACCGTAACATGAATTCTAAAATTATTTATTTGTTCCAAAATAATTTGTTTTCACATCATAAGTTGTTTGGATATGAACGGTGCTTAAATAACTTGGAAAACTCAACTCAACTAAATTTTGGATCAGCATGATTTTGGGTTGGCAGAATTATTACATACATTTTAAACTTTTACATACTCGTGTATTTTATTTTTCAATGCATATTTATACTAATGGAACATGTGTTTAGTATTACACCTTCTATGCAAGTTTTGAATAGCTTAATGTAATAATTAATATATTATACTCCTAGCCCTTCAAGAGGAAATAAATATGTTTTGATATTGCTTTGATTGTGCCAATTTCTAAGTCAATTACGAATGATCTTAAAATACATTAGGAAGTGTTTTTTTGCCAGTTATATGCATAATATGATTTCATGTTCGTAATATAGTTTTGTGAATTAGGTTATGTTAATTATAAAATTAATAAAACTATAAATTTGTTAAAAAGAATTGTATTCGGATATTTTATTCAACCCTGTTGTTTAGTAGTAAAATTAATAATTTTATACAAATTCTTTCCTGGATTGCTACTTTCATCAACATAAAAACCTTTTTTTACCTCCATTTTGAGTGATTCTAATAAAAGACCTTAAAGTTCAAGTTTGTATTAAAATTTAAAAACATGGTCTTTCTTTAAAGATAAAAATGTTATCTAGATTCTGATCATCAAAGCATTCATTCTTTCGTCACGTAACAATATTTAAGTTAATTTCTTATTTATCATGCTTAGGGACCCAAATCATTACCACAAGTTTTTTAATATAAAAATCGGTAATTTATTGATCAAAATCTATATTTTTTGCGAATTTCCCATATAGGGAATAAGCTATTACCGTAGTACTCATGGTAAGACCTGGAGCCAGGACCGATTAATTTTTTCGTTTTGAGGTCCCTAGAGGCCAAAAACATCATCCGTTCAAATTTATATATACATATTTATATATGTCTGATAGCACGATAACTCAGGCAAATATGATCCAATTTTGATGAAATTTGGTACAAACGTGTAATCCTACATTTATTTCAACGAGTTTGCGAACGAGCATGATTGGACTATGGGAATGGGGGTTTATGGGGGGTTTTATGGGGTAAAACTGTTGTAGACCGTTTTATGGGGTGTGTTTTTCCCATTTTTGACCCTAAAAACACAAAATTTCACAATTTATTTCCAAACCATTTTGTAGAGCTTAAAAAACAAATAATTTAGTATATTGAAGCGTTATTATGCGCCTAATGGTTAGGAGAAAATTCCAAAAAATTGTAAATTTAAAATTCCCATGTTTTTCTTATGGAGAATAAGTCAACTGTTGTAGTTTGCTTGTCTATGAACATATTTTTATCAAATTTGGAAAATACATTAATTTCTTACTAAACTACAGAATTAACATTTTACAACAAAAAAACACTTTTTTACCCTCCCTGTTGCAGCAAACTTAAGTACTCGTTAAATTAATTCTATTTAAGTAGGGAATAAATGTGAAATTTTTAAGGAGACATTTTAGTGTAAATCCAATCAGGCAAATGGAAATTCGCTAAGTCTGCAGGTTTGCTGTGGCGGGGGTATTTTATAATTCTTAACAAACTTTACTGTAATTTGTTTTGCTAACCTACACATTCACTGTAGATATTTTTGTAAGAGTAATCTAGTTCTTTGATAATTCTTAGGTCATTACTGATAATGGAAATGTCTATTCAAATAACCATCACACTTCAAGTGGCAATAATAAACAAAGTAATTTATGCAATCCTACAAGATATTGCACTAGCCACCGTTATAATTACATTAATTTTTTTATGAATGTAAGATTATTGTTCATTCAGTTTGTACTTGTACTACACATTTGTTAACATTCCAACTGATACCTGACTATAGCTGTATTATGGTAATTGGTCTGAAACCTACAAATCTTGTACAAATGTTGCCTTTAATAAAATGTGTAAGACCCTTTGACCTAACTGACTATCAAGAGAGATTTTGCCTGTTTTAAAATTATTATTATCATTAAAAAAATTCAACCAAGTTGATTACACAAGTTTAATTGCAAATATACAATTGATCGTGTGGATTTTAAAAGCCATGTAAATGGCCTTGACCAACTAATCATAAATTATCTCCTACAATTCATTAAAAATTCTATCTTATCTTAATCTAGGTAAGCCCTCATTCCCTAATCGTATAAAATTAAAAATTTTCTCGGATAGTAATTCCTTAAACTGATTCCATCACAAAGATAGTGTGTTCTGTTTACATGAAATGAAATAAAAATCATTTATTTACATGAGGTTTAAAATTTAAATTGAACTATTTAAATTGGGCCCTAACTACTAAAGGGGGATTTAACTGGAATACTAGGGGGAGTGCTGTAACTAGAATGAATAAGTAGTTATAAAAGACTTACAACCAATCAAGTGGAATTGAAATACTATTTAAATAACCTTGACCTAAACAAATCATAAATAATGTTGTATAATCTAAAACAACAATTTCATATTAACTAAAGCTTAAAAAAGTCAACAATTTGTCCAATATCATATCTTAAATTAAAATATTTTTGACCCAGAGGATGAAAATAACTCCTTACTTCCATACCTCAAAGATAGTATGTTTTATTTATTTGAAATAAAAAATTGAAATTGGATCGCAGTATTTGGATTAGGTCATCCCAATAAAGGGGACTTAGCATGTTTTTGTACATAATCTTTTGCACAACTTAACTAACTCGTTTGAAGTTGTATAACATTTACAACCAGTCAAGTGGAATTAAAGATTATTAACATTTTTTAAACGACCATGGTTTCAACAAATATTAAACACAAAAACTACAATCCCAGGCATAAACAGATCAACGCTTAATCCCAAATTCTGTCCAAAATAAACACATTTTGAGGCCGATAAAATAATAATTCCCTACCAAAAGATGTGTGTTGTGTTTAGCATTTTACATTGAAATGGATAAGATTGTAAAAGGTTAGGGCAGGCAAGTTTTGGAGGGGAGAGGTAGAAAGAGGGGGAGTGTGTGTGTATGTGTGTGTGAGAGAGATCTTTTACAAGGTCATTCAACGCTAATCAGTTATGGCTGCCACCACACTGATCCAAACAGCCCACAAGATTTTCTCCTTGAAGGGTGTTTTCCCTGCAATAACAACACCTTTCAACGACAAGCAAGAGGTTTACTACAACAAGCTTCATGACAACCTTCAGTATTATGAGAAACTACCTTTTTCAGGTGAGTCATTATGCTGTAGTTTTAAAAATATATATGCATTTTCTCACACACCTTTTGTTAAATGAATTTCTATACTTAAATGCATCAAATTTATCGAAACTGTCAAGTGTTAGATAACTAACTTTATAACCCAGTTTTTATTTTTTTACAATGTAGATTTGTATATTTTAACATATTTTGCATGTTAAATAGTTAAATGGGTTGATAATCTTTTCATTTAACAATTAAATTTTCTATTTTGTACATGGGTGCTTATTATTGTATGTATAGTGTAAAGTTATCACTAGGAATGTTACTTTTGAGATTTTACATTTTACCGTGTAACCATTGGTAAAACAGTGCTGTAATCCATGAGTTAAGAGGGACTGGTCTTGATTGAGGTGGGTTTGCACCCCGCCAATCATCAAATGATTTTATAATGAAAGTGGTAGATAATTTTTGATACTAACATACTCTTATATTAATTGACAGTTTAAGTTTCAGCTCTCTAATCAAAATTTTTCTTTCTCCCTAAAAACATTTCCCACCTTAGTAGACAAATGTTAGTTACAATAATTCAACTTTACAACACCTTTCTTCGTTCTTGTTTTTTTCAAAGCCTAAATTTTATCTTGTTTTGTTAGGGTTTCATGTTTACAGCTCTGTAAAAGACTAATATCCCCACATTAACAATAAACGCATCACTTATTGGGTGAAATTTATCTATTGTCAATCATTATAGTGATATCTAAAGGATTAAATGGACTCAACTGTAATCTTTTACATGAGTATATAATCAGTAAAATGATTGATTTCCAAATTTCCTGATAAGTTTATGGAAAGGTAAAACAACTATTAATTTTGTATAGCATTTCATTATGATAATCGTAATATCAATTAACATCTGATTATAAATTATCAAAATCAAATAACACAATTTTAGAAAGTATTATCAAAGCAGCCTTTTAGGATAAGCAATAGCTTTTTTTTACCAATTTACTGGTTGGCTCTTAGCCAATGTCACAAGAGTATCTTGTTTTGTTACAGATTGTTTCTCTAATGTGGTTTTAATTATCATTCAGGGGGTTTCATTTAGTTTAGCCAACATAATACGCTTCAGTATAGTTAAGGATATATTTTTTATTCTATTTTGTCACAACATTTAGTTTTTAATTATTATTTCTATCCAAAATTTGAATTAACTGTCAAATTTTGTATTTTATCATAGAATTGACTTCAAGTGGGAAATTCAGTATTTTTTCAAACAGGAGTGACATGATTAGTAGCTAATAGTAATATGATTTTTCCAGAAATTACAGATAATAATTTTTAATAATATTTTCCAGGATAAAAATAATTATATTTGAATTCCTCTTTATTTTTCTGCTTGGATCTGATTCAACATTCATTTATTTTGTTCATTATTTGTTTATACTTGAGTCATAGTATTCAATAACAGGTTATAAGTAGGATTAAAAAAAAATATCTGTTTAAAGAATCAAATCATGGTTTTAAAATATTTATGTGTATGTTATGATGAAAATATTAAAATTAATGGCTATGAACTAACAAATGAAATCGTTAATGTTTTTGTTCAAATTATAAAAGGAATGTAAATTCGATCTGCATTAATACCTTAACAATCCAAATTTGAACATTAGACAAATAAAAACCAGCCAAAAAATGTACATTCAGCCAATAAAAAATATTCCCCAAAAATGTATTATAAATTTTATAACTGTTTCCCATTAAAACGTATTAAATAAACCTATGCAGATTGAGACAATCATTGAAATATTCTTTTAGAAGTCTCTAAAGCCCCGTTCACACGGGGCGAGTTTACAAGCTACAAGCCGGATTTTTTACACGCAGCTAGTAAAATAGCTCAGTGTGAACGACGTACTCGCTCAAAAGCTGCTTGTAAAAAAGCTCTGGAAAAAGTTGACGCCGGCGCTACTTTACATGCCAACTCGCCAGCTTTTGAGCGAGTAGGCGTGTAAAGTAGCCCAGTGTGAACACAGTTGCTTGTGCTTGTGCGCATGTTACTCAAAGATGTTGGAGGATTTGGTTCAAGCCAGCTACTGAGTGAGTGGAAAAAGCATCGTGTGAACGACTACAAGCGCACTCGCCGACTCGCCGGCGTCTTTCTACACGTCTGCGAGTTGGCGAGTAGACAAGCTCCGTGTGAACGAATACAAGCACACTCGCCAACTCGCCGGCTTCTTACACGCTGGCGAGTAGCTTGTAAACTCGCCCCGTGTGAACGGGGCTTAAGTAAAGATTTTAAAACATTAATTCCGCTGAGAACTTTTAATTTTGATTCATTGTCAAAACCTCTAAAGGTAATCGATCAAAGAGTATCAAAATAGAACTATTGTCAACAAAGAGCAACACAGTAGTTGTATTGGTAGGTTGAACAAGCCCTACTAACTCCAATAATGTGATGTACGGAAGTTATTGGGTGTTGTAGGAGAACTTATTGTCCTTGTCATCAGTTATAAAAGGGAACTAACCGGGTTTAAATATAAAAACCAGGCTGTCAGAAAGGTTTTGTTATATCACAGTACTTGAAAAGTGTTCCATAGTGTTTCATCAATTATTTTTAGTTATCTAAGTTTTATATTTATAATTTCTAAACACCTGGCTACGATATAAATCACATCTAAACGTCCTGATAACGATATAAATCACATTCAGCTATATTGATAGTTGTGACAAATGTTTGTACCTAGATATTCTTTCGTGTATCTTAGTACAAGTTTATTTGTCAAAATTTGGTATTGCATTTGTCCTTCCTTGGAATATTGATCCTTTTAAAAATTGAATAACACTTCTGATCATGTTCACAATATGTAGAATGAAAATTTACTTTGAACAAAAAGATTTACACTAGCATATCGTACAAAGGTACATCAACCAAGTAAGTGCTCGGTGTTGAAATTTAAAATTAATCAGTAAAGTTCATTCATGTTCATTACCGGCTCTACTCTAGCTTTGGTTGATGCATTTCACACACTGGTCTTTGAAGCCCAGGTGGAAGAGCAAATGTGAGGTCAAAACATCAAAATGGAAAAAATTAAAAAAAAAACTATTTTCATAAGAGTTAAAGCTGGGTTTTCCTAGGCGCGGAGTCGGCGAGCGGAGAGAGGAACGCGGAGAGCGGAATTGAAATTAACATGGCATTCCGCTTCTAGGAAAACAGTAACATTAAATTGCCTAAGACAAGTGGAGTCCGCTCTCCGCGTTCCTCTCTCCGCTCGCCGACTCCGCGGCTAGGAAAACCCGGCTTTAGGGCTAAAATTTAAATTTAAGACTGTCTAGAATCTTGTTTAACCACCCTTCCCAAAAAAAGCTACTGCCAGAATAAAATGTGTTGCATTACAATATTACAACCATCATTGAACAACTCTAAAAACATTTATTTATAATTCATTTTTTTTCAAACAAATTTCATGATTATAACATATTCATCCAAGTTATTTTTGTTAAAGGCTACCTTATTAGCGGGTCCAATGGAGAGGTTGCCGCCATGACCATAGACGAGCGACTGCAAGTCCTCAGAAACGTGCGACAGTCCATCGATCCTCGAAGAATGATCATCGCAAACGCTTACTGTGAATGTGAGTAAAGCAAGAATTTAATGTAAGGGTTTTATTTCATTTTGACAACTTTAGAATACTGAATTCTTGATTCGTGGTTGAAAGACTTCCATTTACCGATGTTTTTGCATCAGTGCAGAATCATTTCTGCAGAGTCACTGTTTCTAAGCCAAGTCAACCTGATGTTGACTTGGCTTAGAAACAGTTCATTTGAAGTCTTATACTTCTTGACTTGGTACGTCACCTGTTTTTTAAGTCAGCATTGGTAAATAAAGGGTTCTGTTGATTTTGACACGGTTTTCACTTAAAGACAATGAATCAACAATAAGTGACCCTGCAAGCAAATCCAGAAAGAACACTTAAACTAATCTATAAATTGAGATTGATTCAAAAATCCGTGCAAAAAATTAATTAGGATTTCAATTGAAAGCCATATGATCACAGTTTAAGAATTCTTGCTAAAAGAAGTTTGTCTAAGATTGATGATTTTTGGACAAAATGTCTTTAAGGACCTTTTCTCATTTCTAACTTGGTTGCATGCTGTGAGAGTGTTGGAACACTGATTGTAGTTCAGTTACAAAATGAAGCCCGTAGACCTTACTTAGAAATTTTTATCTCACTTATTGCAAGCCAGACTTCAGATAAAAGAAACTTCTACTGTATCAGTACCAGCAAACCCAACACGCTTAGAAATAGAGGAAAACCACGCAACTCCTCAACACAAAATTAGTTTCTTTGAAAAACATTTAATGTACTACAATGAAAATCTTTTCTGCCAGATTTTTTTGGTGCAACACGATTATGAGCCATTTGGGAAAGCATTCAAAGGTTTAATGTGTGTTAGGTAGAACAAACTTTAGTGCAGGGTTAGAGATGATTTAGTTCCCAGTAAAAAGACCGAAAAACATTTTGAAAAACATAGATTGGAATTTTTCAAAAAAAAGACGACATACATTGGCAATAAATTCTTTAAAGCACTTCCGAATGAACTAAGATCAGAAAAAAATAATAACAAACTAAAATGTAAATTGAAAATATATTTGATCAACAAACCCATTTACTCAATAGAGGAATTTTATGAATACAACAAAATTATGAAGCAGTAGTGGTAGTTTTTTTTTTTAAATTTATAACTGTATTCTTTTTTAGTTTTATATTTGACGCCATTTCTTGTAATGACATGTACAAGGACAAATAAAGTGATTTGATTGATTGATTGATTGATTAAACAGTTTTTCCTACAGTCACCCGACAACGTGGGCTTCCTTGACCAGATTATAGTAAAGAAAGCCTTACTTTGGTGCACAGTTTTTAAATTGGCGCACACCAGTATTCCAACCAAACAACACAAAACAGCGTACTTTTATTATGCACAAAATCTGTGTACGCTTGGAAATAGGTTGGCAACACTTATAGATACTACGACTTCGATCAGCTGGTGCAGCGTTTCCTATTTCGTTCAATGTTTGGATTTAACCTAACCTAAAAACTTGTTGTACAGTGTTTGAAAGACTAATTATTTATATGCTTTATAGTAACTGTAGGAAAAGTAAAATGTGTAACACTAGTGCAAACTGGCTTTGCTGCACTCGAGAAACTTTCCACACTCGTCTACGGCTCGTGCGAAAACATTTCTCTCATGTGCAGCAAAGTGCCACTTCTCCCACTAGTTACACAAATAACTATTGTATTGGGATTTCAAACTTTTCTTTATATGATGTGTCACAAGAATTACAGTTTTTCATAAATAAACTTTGTTTTGTTTGATTATATTTAATTATACTTGATTGTTTGCAGCCACTCGTCAATGTTGTGAGTTGGCCAAGACGTTAGCTCGCCATGGAGCGGACGCAATTCTGGTCATGATACCTTTCTACCATCGCAGGTCACTTAGTGTGAGTATTCAACTCTGGAAACATTACCTAATTGTTAAAAACCATTGTGAAAGGTTTAAGACTAATGGATAATGTATTTAAATCAAATCAAATACCGTAATGCTTTATTCATTAAGTACAGTTTTGTACACTGAATGGCGTCAACTAATATATTTTAAATTAATAATACAGAACCAGCAAATGAAAATAATCATAACTTTATCAGTTATGACTAATGCCAAGAGGGGGGGTGGAAAATTACCCTTCCAAAGAATAAAAGGCGTTCTCCACCAAATAAAGTTTAAGTTTGATGAGGATGATGGTTTCCGACTAAAAGAGGATTAAAGTCCAAAAACTTGAAGAACAAATTCGATCTGTTTGAATATTATAATGATTTTTAAGGGTGTATTGATGTTTGTAAAATTATAAATTGTGAAAACAAACCCAAAACACTTTAATTTAATGCTTTTTAAACACCTTGATATTTGCTATCATCAAGTTCAAAAACTTGAAGAACAAATTCAATCTGTTTGAATATTATAATGGTTTTTAAGGGTGTATTGATGTTTGTAAAATTATAAATTGTCAAAACAAACCCAAAACACTTTAATTTAATGCTTTTTAAACACCTTGATATTTGCTATCATCTGGCCAAGGTGATAAGTGATGAGCTTATTTCATGTGTTGCAAGCAATTGTTAATTTTTTTTAGGTTTTAAAGGATACAAGTAAAATAAAATCTTTGGTTAATGGTATACTCCCAGAACAATCTTAAAGACCAATATTCAAAGGTTAAGCCATGATTACACAATACAAATTGACAAACCTGTAGTTCAACAGATTGTTCTGAAGGTAGAATTATGTCCCTTACCAGAGTGTCTGAGTGATAGATAGATAGATAGATAGATAACAGTGCTTTATTTTTCTGAATCGTTTACAAATTTACAGATTGTATTATTTTTATGCACAAAAGACAATAGTCATTTGACCGTCTGTCTGGTTGGCAAAGTCCACTTCCACTATCTAAATAAAATCAACACTGCACTGATATAAAAAATAATAAACATAAAAGCACTCACTTAAAAGCTAAAATAAAATTTAAACTAATTTACATTCATTCCAATTTTTTGAACTGCACCAAGGATTCTAATCTATTGCCTACACATACTAATACACATACCTACACATCATACTAGGCTATACTGTAAATACATACATACACACATACAAACATACAGATATATTCTAACATACAGTTTTTAGAGTTAAACCAAGAATTTCCTTTTACAGTAAACAGTTAAATAATAAATCTTTGAGATAAAAAGTATCATGAATGCTGAAACATAAAATACTGCTCTAATAAAATGAAAGGAAAAAACAGAGTATATGATTGTTGAGATTCATCATCAAATAGCCTAGTATACAGTATAATGTTTTAAACTGCTTAATTCATGTATGCTTATTGTCACCTGTCGTTCAAAAGATTACCCTCGACTCGAATACCTTTAGAACAGAATATTCCCATCAAGTTAGGATTTTTAAAAATTAAATTCATTTATTAGCTCCCTCCTACGGACCCAGGCTATTTTAATAAAGTTACCCAAACCTCGCCAATCCCTCCCATTTAGATAAGATAAAAACTCATGATAATCAATAGTTAATTTTTGTAAATGACATTTTCTAAGGTCTTTAAACACGGGACACCTTGCCACAAAGTGAAAAACAGTTTCATTTTCATGCAGGTTACACAAGGAACAAAAATAATTTTTATCAACTACCCAGGGTTTATAATTTAAATCTAACATCTCCCCTCTACATTTCATAATCCATGAAATTGTGACGATATCCCTATTATCAGAGAGAAAAGTTCTATCGCCAAGATTGAAGTCCAAATCTATAAATTGAGAGTGAAATGCCGATGTACGCGCTCTGCCAATACATTCCGCCCTCCAGTTATCTCTCAACGCACTCACAACGCTCATCAGCTGGACCTCGACCTGACCTTGCGCAAAGTCTACCGGCAAACCAAACTTGTCACCTAATAATTTCCAGTCACGGTACCAATACACTTTTCTCCTTATCACTTCCCTTGCTAAAATATTTGGCAAACGATCTGCATCCAAACACAACACATTTAATATATATTTTAGATTCATCAAAATAGTATGGAATTGTAATTTGTCTAATCCTGACTCCAAATACAGAAAATAATTAGGCGTATTATTTGGCAACCGAAATAGTTTTTTTATAAACAATCTCTGAACTGATTCCACTGGATCACAATCTAAATATCCCCACACTTGACCTGCATAACACAAAATAGATTTTATTATTGAATTGAAACATACAAATTTAGAATTCAACGGAACTTTATTGTTATTTATAAAACTACTCCACACGGCATTAATAGCTAATTTTGCAGCAGCTGACTTATCATTTAAATGCTTATCCCAGTTAAGAGTTGGTGTTAAAACAACTCCTAGATATTTGTAGGAATTCACTATTTCAATAGGCTGACCTTTGTACCACCATTTATTGTTTCGTGCCAACCTACCACCTTTACGAAATACCATGATTTTTGATTTATTAAGATTCACTTGTAGGTTCCAAATATCACAGTAGGCCTCTAAATTAGTTATCATTTGCTGTAACACTGTGGCTGTTGGTGCTATCAGTACAACATCATCGGCATACATTGAGTGTCTGAGTGTCTACCTCAATTACTGAGGGTTAAAATTAAAGTATTTAGAGAAAATGAAAATATTAATTTAAATGAGTGTGAATCAAATGTTGACCAACATTTTAGATGTCTATAGCTGTAGATCTCAAGATCGCTTCACATATAACTAATGCGCCTAACTATCCTTTCACCTTTGAGTTCCCCACATCCACTCATTTGGATCATGAGTATTTCATTGATATTTGATATTTCCCTCAGATAGTCTACTGAAGGCATGTAGGATTTGGTTTGTAGCAAGCTAAGTTTAGGGGGGGGGGGGTTGTCGGTTCTGCCCCATAAGTAAACTGAAGTAATAATAACAAATAATAACGATTAATGGAAGAAATAAAATAAAAGACTTTTACTTTTATATTACATATAACTTAGGGATGGACGAGATTGAATTTTTAGTTCGAGACGAGACGAGATTTTTTATTTCTCATAAAATTTCGAGACGAGATCAAGAAGGGATTTCCCTTCTCATACACAACGGGAAATGCACATTCAACATTACTACCTGATTTCGTAACATTGTTAGATGATTGTTTGAATACAAAAATAATAATAAGAGGAAGAATATTTAAAATCTTTTATTAAAAACCATCAGCATAAAAAATGTATAATTTTTACGCCTAACTTATTAAAAATGCTTACGATTAGGAAACATGGTGATATAAGTTAGGATAGAGTCAAACTTATCCTAAAATAAAATAAATTATAAAATAAAAGCAATATTAATTTGTATAAAATAGTTACTTGTTTTGGCTTTGTTTATAGTATTAAAACATGTCTCACACTGCTTACACTTAACAAAACTTCTCAAATGATAAAATAATTAAAGTAATATTTACATGTAAAGAATGAATTAAATATGAACGCCTTCAAAAAGGAAACACAACTACAACGCGCTCTTGTATTGCGGGTATTGCATTGACTTTCTGCAGGCATTTTGTTTTATTTTTTATTTTTTTCAATTTTATTCTAGAAAAAAATCTTAATCAAAAAGAAATCTCGTCTCGTATAACAAGATTTAATATTTCCCGAAATTTCGAGACTTGACCATCCCTAATATAGCTAAACATTAGGATTTTAATCACTACTCTCGTAGGGTTGTGCTGCTCGTTACACTCGATGTGCGAAACGCATTTAATTCTGCAAGATGGTGCGATATGCTGGACGCTCTGGAGAACAACTTCCACGTCCCGGCATACCTCATGCGCATTATAGAGGATTACCTCCGGTTCCGCCTCCTCATGTATGATACTACAGAAGGCCCGCGGACGATGAGTGTCACTTCTGGTGCTGCCCAAGGTTCCATACTCGGCCGGGACCTCTGGACCGTTGCCTACGACAGCCTCCTTAGGTCTGAAATGCCTGAAGAAACCGTTTTAGTTGGGTACGCAGATGACATTGCAGCTTTAATAGCTGCTCGTAGTGTTGAGCTGGCCCAGCTAAAATTAAACCGAGTCATGCGAACTATAAACGCATGAATGGCAGATCACGGTCTCTCACTCGCGCTGAACAAAACTGAGATCGTGATTCTGACCAAAAAGCGGATTGACACCATTGTGCCTTTGAGGGTGGGGGACGTCGAAGTCCAGTCCGTTCGTGCCGCCAAGTATCTTGGTGTCATGGTGGACTCTAAGCTTAGCTGGCGGGACCAGATATTCCGAACGGCGGACAAGGCCGCTAAGGTGATCTCTTCTCTTAGCCGGTTAATGGCCAATGTCGGAGGTCCTCGTTCCAGTCGCAGAAGGCTGTTGATGTCTACAGTTCAGTCTGTGCTCCTGTATGGTGCGGAGGTGTGGGCAGACGCGCTCAATAAGGAGGTGTATAGGATGCGGCTTGCCAGAGTGCAGCGTCAGGCAGCACTCAGGGTAGCATCCGCCTACCGAACAGTGTCTGAACCTGCCATCTTGGTGGTTGCTGGAGTAATCCCCGCCAATCTTTTGGCGGCGGAGAGGAAAGCGATTTACCAGCTGCGTGGAGAGGACCATGCAAAAATGGAGGAGCGCAACCGCACCTACCAGCTCTGGCAGGAGAGCTGGGAACAGGAGTCGCGGGGACGCTGGACCAGGAGACTGATTCAGCAAGTCCAACCATGGGTTGACCAACGGTATGGTGAGGTGGACTATTACCTTACCCAGTTTCTGACAGGTCACGGGTTTTTTCGGTCGTACCTGTTCAGGATGGGCAAAGCCGTGTCACCCGATTGCATCTACTGCCCAGGCACTCCCGACAACGCGGAGCACACCTTCTTCCGCTGCCAGCGTTGGGAAGGTTCCCGCCTGGAGGCTGAACAACATGTAGGGCAGTTGTTGGTGGACACGGTCATTCCGATGATGACGGAGGGTGAGGACAATTGGACCTGTATGTCACATTTCGTCCAGGATATTCTCCGCACAAAGAAGCTAGAGCTTGACCGAGATGCAGTCTAGGTCATAAAGAAATTGAATGCCAGAAACGGCGCGAGCCCTGAGGGCTTAGGTCACACGTTGACCTGACCTGAAGTAATGTGACAAACAATCCCAGGTCTGTGTCCAACAGAGTAGAGGGGGTTTTTTAGTGAGTAGTCTGACAAGCTCAGGAGTCTCACACTACAGGCTGGCTACCTGTGTGCGTAAAAGCATTTTTACCTCCTCTCCCTTAAAAAAAAAAAAAAAAAAAAAAAAAATATAGCTAAACAGTATCAGTTTTTCCATACGCGGGATTATTACACCAAAAATGAGATTTTCGGCTCTGACTTCTGTTTTTATTTTTTATACTTAATTTTAGGGTAAAACTAGCCCTAATTAATTAAAACCACTGTAGGAAATATGATATTAATGTTTAAACAGCTATTTAATCATGATAAGTCAATTATAAAACTCTGGATGGAACAATAAAATTCATGCAGAATAAAACGGGATTTTTAGGATCCAAAATTGTGATAAAACAGGATTTTTCGGATTCAAAAGAGGGATAAAATAGTATTTTCTTGACCGAGTAAACGCAATTATTGTTTTGGTCGTGTGGATACACTGAACAACATTTATTCACAAACATTTTGGGAGTGGGCTTGACCCGTGCCTGACCCTTTGTGTTGTTATTATCTTGGAGCCCATTATATGTAGCAACAATAGGAAACTATAACAGTATCTTGAAGTCTTTTGGTTATCCCGTATGAAAGATTTTCCTTGCACCTTGACTCCTTCCCTGTATCTTTGATATTCCATGGACTTGAACAAGTCTGGCCATATTCTTGGAAATGGTTGATCTTTGCTCGCACATCTACAAATATATAGACATTTTACCTGGCCAAAGCAGGGGCTGGATAGGCTGGACGAATACACATTTCCAAGGACCCAGGAGTGTTTATTCCTGCTAGAGATGGGAATAGCCTTTCTTTACAATAATAGTCAGCAACATTCCTTAGCTTTTCGGTAATAGGTGAAATAATACTATTATTCGTATCACCTATTACTCCCTCGTCAAGTGCTTTACAGCTTGTCGCCGTTAATTGGAAGACAGGATCAGCATTTTTTCACTCGCTAGTTCTAATAGTTCAGACAACAATACAAAAATTATCACCAAGAAACAATTATTTTGTGATGCTTGCAGTAGAGGACACTATCAGCAAGATAGTTATTTCATTCAATTAGTTTAAACTGTTCTGATGAGGTTACTAAAATAATAGGGTATTCTCATTAATATATTACCAGGGTAATAGGTGACAGCCAATAGTAATAGTACTATTTATCCTATCATGTTAAATAATGACCACCTCAAATAAGGGCCGCTTTAATAAAAGGGCCCGGGCCCATGGGAGCAAGAGGCTTGTGTTGGGGGCGCAAGGAGGGGAAAAATTCCCCATGGTGGAGAAGGGCGCAGTCATCTCTCAGGCCCATAGTGCATCACATACAAACTGTGGGCCTGCCTCTAATTCTTGCATTTCCTATTCCTTTTAATCCCTGTTTACCAATTACTTTGCAATATTAGAGCAATAAGAGTAGTATCATTGACTATTGGATACAGAAGTAGACATCTCATCTATATGAACCAGCTGTCTGCAATTTTTTACTTAAAAATGAAGTTGTGTAAGCCAGTCACAGAATGTGCTAATCTAAAATTCTTTTTTCTACGTTTTTTTTTTTTGTTGCTGACATATTTGATGGGTCATAACAGTTGCTGTAGCTCATAATAGTCGTTCCATCAGCATAACACGTTGAGTGCGTCTGTTCGGGAACACTCGGCAATGCCTTTTGTATATCTTCATTTTTGCTCTAGCATCGGTCGAAAGCGGACCCATACCAAGTTAGCGTGTAGTGTGTGACTTGCATTTTGTTGTGGTGTAGGTTGGTGGTAAATTTCCCGTAAAATCCCTGTCTGGCAAGTTCAAAAATCAACTTTTTGTTCTGTCTTTTTCCTCCCATTTGGCAATACAATTCCAATAGTACCAGCTACATTCCAAGCAGTGCTACTATCTTTGGGTGTTTAGCGAACTACGTTGACTCTCGTCGTAAAGCAGGACATACCCTCACGTTATTTGGTATTCGTCAGACTGAAATTCTAAAGCCAATCACAAGCGGCAATCAGGTTTGTTCGACGCTGCGGGCTGCGCCGCTCTGGGGATTTACCTGCCATTTGACGTGCCGCAGCTAACGTGCTAACTTGGTAAAAAACTCGGTGGCTTCAACAGAAATTATTAATTTAGACCAGTGCAATCTCTCGGTGGCTCATATCAACTACAAAACATTTGACTTAAAAACTGGCAACAACTTTAACATGGGGATGGAATGTCTATTTGTATCAATTGTCGGTAGTACCTAAGCAGCTTTCCTTTCTATTCCTTATCACTCTATCATGAACTTAATAAACTTATTGATGGTTCTAGGAAGAGGCAGTCCTGGCCCACTTCAGGGTTGTGGCAGACAGTTCACCAGTTCCTGTCATCATATACAACAATCCTGGTGTCACTGGTATGGACATAAGTGTAGATACTATCATCAAGCTGGCAGAACACCCTAACATCAAGGGCGTCAAGGATGGAGATGTAAGATAAAATTTAGGTTCGATCTTCGGACAACAAGTTTCTGAAATTGATGGTTGCTAGTGAGAAATTTGTTTTGTAGAAGTTAGTGCGATTTCTGAGGGGTTGATATGTAGTGAGAGTAATGCTCTTTTACTGACTGGAAATGGCTATTTGTGTAACTAGTGGGCAAAATGGCACTTTGCTGCACACGAGAGAAATGTTTACGCACAAGCCGTAGGCGAGTGTGGAAAGTTTCTCAAGTGTAGCAAAGGCAATTTGCACTCATGTTACTCATTATATTTTTCCTACAGTTATTATAAAGCATAGAAATAATTAATCCAAGTGTTGAACGAAATGGGAAACACTGTACCAGCTGATCGTATTCGTAGTATCTGCGTTACCAACCTGTTGGCTCGGCTGTCCGGCGTCCGCTGCCATTCTAACCTAAACTTTATAACAAAAGCTTTATATCTAGCAATAATTCTTATTTTGGATTCATTCTTTTTGTTTGATTACTATTTGGATAGTATGATTAGTAAATGAAAATGAAAATAAAAGATATATCTCTCCCAAATTTACTTTAATGTGTTATTTTCAATGAAACTTATGGGAATTTCTTATAATTTTATAGAACACTAAATGGCGAGATTAGTAAATATATGTATAGGCCTCTACAGTGCTTTTAAATATCTTTGACACATGTATACTGTTGAAACTGAAAAGTTAATAGGTTATTAAATAAATTTATTAAAAACACGGTAATTTAATAATGACTCTTTAGTTATCCTTTGTACCATATATTAATGTTCTTACTAAAAACATTGAGGGTTCTAATTAAAACACTTTCTACTTCAGAGCCTTAAAAACTTTATTTTTTTTTTTTACTTAACTTTAACGAAGCTAAATTTTGTTTGATCATTACTTTGTAAGTTCTCTGAAAAGAGAGTAAAAAATGTGAGAGTAGTTGTTTTATAACCCATTCTTTTAACTTCATTTTGTGTATTGCCTTCCGGATTACTTCATGAATTGTATACAAGAGGTTAAGTTACCTTGATTCTGTCCAAGTAATCCTTAAGTCGTCATTAGTGCGACCGGTTTCGATGTCTATGGCATCATTGTCAAGCTGAACGTAAAAATCGCTCCTAGGAGGTCGTCATGAGTCTTGAAACACACGTAACACACCGTAACACATAACACGTACACAAACAAAAAACGATAAAATGCATGGCCACACAACTAATTTACAGCACGGCGGCGGGTACAGGGTGTAGGTCTAGACTGACGCCGTGTCTTCCTCTCCCCACCTTCCCCCTCGAGTTATCAGCTGTTGATAATATTTCGTCGATGTTTAAAGCTGTCTCATAAATTATATTTGATTCAAATGAGGATTTATCATTTAGGATGTGTTGGGGGTGTTTTTTGCCGGCCTTGTAAATTTCGTATTCCTCAATTGTATCTAATAATCTTCCTCTTCCTTTATGGGATCGTAGAACTTCTAGATTGGTGTTAAAATCTGTATATTCATGGTTATTATTAATTAAATGTTCAGCAAATGCGGAGTTAGGTTGGTTAATAGATGGTTTCGGGAGATGTTCTTTAAAACGTGTTTTAAATGGGCGTGAAGTCTGACCAATATAAAAGCTAGGACAACTGTCACAATTCAGTTTGTATACACCTGAATTTTCTGTTTGATCGTCACGGTTTGTTTTCTTATCTTTTAATACTGATGAAAGTTTATTCGAGGTTTTAAATGAGACGATAACTTGGTTTTTAGACATTTCTCTGCTTAATGTATGGTTGAGATAGCTGCCAAATTCGGTGGAAACGTATTTCGGTCTGTCTAAGGTTGTATTTATGCGGCTATTTTTGTTCTTATGTTTCAAGATTAGTTTGTCGATGATATTGCTCCTGTAACCGTTAGCTATTGCAATATATTTAATGGTATTGAGCTCTTCGTTGTAGTTTTCTTCAGACATCGGGATTGATAGTAATCTATTAACAAAACTGTGATAAGCTGCCAATTTCTGGTTTTGAGGATGATGTGAACTATTATGGATGGTCTGGTGTGTGGTTGTAGGTTTTCTATAGATTTTAAAAACGAGTTTGTTTTTATCAGAACATCTTGAGATACTAAGGTCTAGAAAATTCAGTGTTTTATTGCTTTCGGTTTCGAGAGTAAACTTTATGTTTTTATGTAAGCTGTTCATGTAAGTTAGTAGCATTCCCAACTGTCGCTTTGTGCCATTAAACAGGACAATAGTGTCGTCTACATAACGATGATAAAATACCATTTTTTCTCTCAAGCGGTTTTTATCAGACCAAGAGGAATAAGTGGGGAGAGGAAGACACGGCGTCAGTCTAGACCTACACCCTGTACCCGCCGCCGTGCTGTAAATTAGTTGTGTGGCCATGCATTTTATCGTTTTTTGTTTGTGTACGTGTTATGTGTTACGGTGTGTTACGTGTGTTTCAAGACTCATGACGACCTCCTAGGAGCGATTTTTACGTTCAGCTTGACAATGATGCCATAGACATCGAAACCGGTCGCACTAATGACGACTTAAGGATTACTTGGACAGAATCAAGGTAACTTAACCTCTTGTATACAATTCATGAAGTAATCCGGAAGGCAATACACAAAATGAAGTTAGAAGCTAGTCAAGCATCTCTTGCCTATAAATACAAAGACGTAAAACTGAAAGTCTTGAAAACTAACGAAAACATCAAGTTTAACAAAAAATGTTTAGAATGTGGCCTGATACCAAAATACATATCAGTCAAACTAAAATCTAAATCTTTTGCTGCATTGAAAGCCAAAGCAATAGCCGAAAAAGCTTGGTTGAAACATGAAATTAAATTCTTACATGCTAAGAAAGACATGTTAAATAAATTACTATTTAACATACATTTGAAATTAATAAGCACATTACATGCTAGCCAAAGAGATGACATCATTTACAACTTAGATTCACAGATTAACAGAAAAATTGTAGCCAAAAAGAGAACACAAAGTAAAAAAATCAAAGATCTCTCAGACACCCAAATACAGAAAGAGATGATTAAATGTAATCACAAATTTCACCCTGTAGTATTGAACCATACAAACATCGAATTTAATGATGAAGAAATTGCTTTACTTAGTAAAGGACTTAATTTTAATTTTTCTAATGGCAGAAAAAAGTCCCTGGTTTCTGAAATTTTACATTCTGAATCCGCTATAAAAATGTTAAAAGACGAAAATTCCAGAACATTAGCTCGAGCCACAATTGTTAAAAAAGCCAGGAATGTAGCAGGCAGTCAATTTGACAGGGCTGAACATGTCAAACATAGGTCACTGAGGAAAGTAGCTACACGCATTAGAGATAAGGTCGCGGAGAACCATGCCGTGATTTGCAAAGCTGATAAAGGAAACTCGATAGTTATTCTTCCTAAACGTGACTACTTAAACAAAGTTTACGCATTTTTTGAGGCTAACGACATAAACCAAATGAGCAAAGATCCGACAGTTAAATATTCTAAAGAAATTAATAAGCAAATTAATGCTAGCACAAAGCTACTCACAAAAACTGAGATGAAAAGTCTAAAAGTAACCAACCCACAGGCTCCTATTTTTAGAGGGTTGCCCAAAATTCATAAGCTGAACATACCCATAAGGCCACTTGTAAATTTCATTCCATCCCCAGGATACAAAGTTGCAAAGAAATTGGACTCCATAATACGACGCGAGGTCAAATTTGACAAAAGTTCTAGTCTAAAAAATAGTACTGATCTTGTAAATATGATAAATCATGTCACACTAAAAGATAGTTACATTTTAGCATCATTCGATGTAGTTAATCTGTACACAAATGTACCAGTAAATGAAACCCTTTCAATACTCGAAAAGAACTTATTAACAAACTCATCTTTATGCAAAGAAGCAGTAAACGACCTCATAAGACTCACTGAAACTATTATGAAACAGAATTATTTCCAGTTTGAAGACAAAATATTTTTACAAAAAGAAGGGTTAGCGATGGGTTCTCCACTATCATCCATATTAGCAGAGATATATTTAAACGACCTTGAGAATAAACATTTATGGTCTGATAAAAACCGCTTGAGAGAAAAAATGGTATTTTATCATCGTTATGTAGACGACACTATTGTCCTGTTTAATGGCACAAAGCGACAGTTGGGAATGCTACTAACTTACATGAACAGCTTACATAAAAACATAAAGTTTACTCTCGAAACCGAAAGCAATAAAACACTGAATTTTCTAGACCTTAGTATCTCAAGATGTTCTGATAAAAACAAACTCGTTTTTAAAATCTATAGAAAACCTACAACCACACACCAGACCATCCATAATAGTTCACATCATCCTCAAAACCAGAAATTGGCAGCTTATCACAGTTTTGTTAATAGATTACTATCAATCCCGATGTCTGAAGAAAACTACAACGAAGAGCTCAATACCATTAAATATATTGCAATAGCTAACGGTTACAGGAGCAATATCATCGACAAACTAATCTTGAAACATAAGAACAAAAATAGCCGCATAAATACAACCTTAGACAGACCGAAATACGTTTCCACCGAATTTGGCAGCTATCTCAACCATACATTAAGCAGAGAAATGTCTAAAAACCAAGTTATCGTCTCATTTAAAACCTCGAATAAACTTTCATCAGTATTAAAAGATAAGAAAACAAACCGTGACGATCAAACAGAAAATTCAGGTGTATACAAACTGAATTGTGACAGTTGTCCTAGCTTTTATATTGGTCAGACTTCACGCCCATTTAAAACACGTTTTAAAGAACATCTCCCGAAACCATCTATTAACCAACCTAACTCCGCATTTGCTGAACATTTAATTAATAATAACCATGAATATACAGATTTTAACACCAATCTAGAAGTTCTACGATCCCATAAAGGAAGAGGAAGATTATTAGATACAATTGAGGAATACGAAATTTACAAGGCCGGCAAAAAACACCCCCAACACATCCTAAATGATAAATCCTCATTTGAATCAAATATAATTTATGAGACAGCTTTAAACATCGACGAAATATTATCAACAGCTGATAACTCGAGGGGGAAGGTGGGGAGAGGAAGACACGGCGTCAGTCTAGACCTACACCCTGTACCCGCCGCCGTGCTGTAAATTAGTTGTGTGGCCATGCATTTTATCGTTTTTTGTTTGTGTACGTGTTATGTGTTACGGTGTGTTACGTGTGTTTCAAGACTCATGACGACCTCCTAGGAGCGATTTTTACGTTCAGCTTGACAATGATGCCATAGACATCGAAACCGGTCGCACTAATGACGACTTAAGGATTACTTGGACAGAATCAAGGTAACTTAACCTCTTGTATACATTCTTTTAAGCTCTAATGAGACCTAAAAATTGGTATAAAATGGTGTTTTTAGCACTAAAATTTTGAAAAATGTATTTTATTTTATTAATCGCTTGGATATTCATGTATCCAAGACTTCCTTTATTGTAATCAGTACAATTCACTGCACAAATTAAATAGTTAGTTACATCCAGAGTGATATTAATCTCAAACTTAGACTTCAATTGTTCACATTTACTCAATTTTAAATACTGTGCACAGTCGGTTACAATTATGTTAATATTGTTGCTAGGTTTGAGCCATAGATTGTTTTTACAGGTTAAACTAAGACTAACGATGAGCTTCACAATCCGGAGGCTACTCACACCACAATAAAGTTAAACTAAGAGTTTGCGACTTCACTTTGACAAAATTCATTGGTTGGCGAGGTTGAACACCCCCGGTGGCGTGGGACCCAGGTTGAAGTCCCACCCTCTACAACTAGATGAAGCATGTTAGTTTGGTACTCAAACTAAATTGTTTATCCTTTTACAGGTTGCCAAGATAGCTTCAATTATTAAAGAAGTGAGAATCAGGGGTTTTGACTTTGAAGTTTCTCAAGGAGCAGTAGGGTATTTTTTGCAGTCTTTGGTTGTAGGTGAGTGTTCATTTTCTTGTCAGATGAATTGAGTAGATGTAAGTGAGATTTTAAATGGGAAACGATACACAATCTGACTTGTAGCAGTTAAGCAAATCACTTGGTCAATGATTTCATTTTGATAGCTCTCCCTAGTGGAATGCTCAACATACCAAATACAGGGTGATTTGTACTCAGTGTGACAAAATTTTTTTGGTGTAAGTACAAAGTAAATGAAGTGTGATGATGCATATCAAATGTTCCAAGTCTAAAAATAAGCTTCCCAAAAAATTATTTTATGTTTTTAAAAAATAACCATGTTTTTTAAACTTAATACAGCGATTTCTCAATTACCTGTATATGGATTTGAGTAGATAATGTAATTTTCGTGTTCTACATTAAATTTTGAACAAGAATAATAGAAAATGACGGAGGATCAGTTGTAAAAACTCCATTGTAAATAGATTCAAATATAAAAATTAAAATGTTTAATACAAATTTTAAAAACAATGGTCTATTGCATTTTTTACACCCTGTATACAAGAAAGTGTCGGAATATGTTAAAAACTGCGCCATTTTATAAGCTTTCCAACCATATTCTACACTATTGAGGTTTATGTCTGCTTATGTACGCTTTAATGGTTTGAAGACTACAAAGCATGGTGTCTTTAACATTTAAAACACAGAAAGCCGGCATGTATTAAGCAAAAGTTGTATTTTTGTTTCAGCTTGAACAGTAAAAACAGTAAAAAAGTTCCCTGTTTTCTGGTATTCAAACCAAAAAAATATCTAAACCTCAATAGTGTAGCATATGGTTGGAAAGCTCATAAAATGGCACAGTTTTTAATATATTCCGACACTTTCTTGTATACAGGGTGTGAAAAATGCAATAGACCATTTTTTTTAAATTTTTATCAAATATCTTAATTTTTATCTTTGAATCTATTTACAATGGAGTTTTTACAACTGATCCTCCGTCATTTTCCATTATTCTTCAAAATTTAATGTAGAACACGAAAATGACATTATCTACTCAAATCCATATACAGGTAATTGATAAATCGCTATATTAAGTTTAAAAGCATGGTTATTTTTGAAAACCATAAAATAATTTTTCGGGACACTAATTTTGAGACTTGGAACATTTGATATGCATCATCACACTTTATTTACTTTGTACTTATATCAAAAAAATTTTGTCACACTGAGTACAAATCACACTGTATAAGCAAAACTGGGGACTTCAGTGGCTTAGAGACTTGGATTTAGCTTTATCAAGGAGGGAACTATTTTTTGATTATTTTAGATTTTATTTTTAAGATGAAATAACACAAGTACGTTCAACTAGAGGTTTTTCCATATCCGTGGCAGCTGGCTAAATAAGCCGTTTTCAGTCATGGATTTGATTCTAATATTTTTGGTCTTAACATGCTGGGAAATTATCCCAAAAATCTCAGCCTCTAACAAAAAAATCCTTGGCTAACTGAAAGGAACAATTCAAGCACTGAAGGGAAGAGCAAGCTTGTCCTTAGACAGAATAAGATTAATTTTTTATACATGGATAGTAGCGTAGAAAACCAGTACTGGCCAGTAAAATACTGAAATTTATTGTGTGTACTGGTACCTTCTTATGTTACTATCTGTGTATTAGGTTGTAAGGGTAAGCTAACAAAACAAATATACTGCCTTTACTTACCGAACCTCTAGCTCACGGGTAGCACCTTCAGCTAATAACGCCACTAGTTCAAGATTGGCTGACTCCAATATCTTATATTTGGGGTCACCTTTGGTTTGCACGTGTAACTTATGCTGTGACTATAATTTCTCCTAGTGCTTAGTTTTGGGAGAAAGCAATATTTGGGATAAATAGGTTTTCCGTTACCCCTCCAATTGAGCCCTGGTTATACCATAATGATACTTCACTTTTTCTCATTCTATCACCACTAAGACCACAGGGTACAACAGACAGTTGAGGTTAAACAAACATCAAAACTGTCTAAACCGTTGTCACCAACCCTAGGTCTGAAACTCTTAACTAACTGTATAGAATTGATCCTTCAACTTAAACGATTTTTACAGGGGCAAGCGGAGCAATAGCAGCACTACCAAATATTTTGGGCCGTGAAGTTTGTCATTTGTACCAACTCTACAAAGATGGAAAAATTGATGATGCCAGCAATCTTCAGCTTAAACTTACAAGGATAGATGAGCTCGTATGTATTTATTGAGTTTCATAGATTTGTTATTCTTTTAGTTTATGAAACGATATAGTGTTTAGTAATTACAAGTAAGTTTTAACTGTGGACATGTCAAAGATATAGATTTTCTTTCACTATCTCATACTGTTCTACAGTTAATTCCTAAAGCCCCCACACCCCTCTATTGCACAGATAGAAGAGTGTGAGTGTGTGTACGGGGCGTAGAGCCCCGGACGAGGACCACAGAGAGAGGCAATAAGGAAAACTTCCCCAAGTAGATTAATTGGCAGAAAATACAATAATTGGGGGTTTCACATGTGAACTATTTTTCCTTTACGGTTTCAAATATTACGATGAAACTAATCGTCCCATAGGGTAAACATCCAAAAATAGAAGATTGTAACAAATTCGAGCTTCAGGCATCTATAAAATCAATTGTAACGATTGTGATAGCTTCTACATTGGACAGACTGTGAACTTTGTTAACCGCTTCAAAAACCACATATCTGCGTGGAGGAACAACAAACCGGAAAGATCAAATGTCGCACAACATCTGTTACAAAATGGCCACTCAATAGGAAAAATGGAGGATAGTCTAGGATTTTAAAGAATTGTAAGAAAGGATGTGTAATGAATGCTTGGGAAGAATTGTATATTTATAAGGAAAAATGTAAAAATAGAAATAAGTTGATTAATGAACAAGTAAATTTCGATTCCAGTTGTACTTATAAAAATGTATTGGCCGGTGCTTCCGGTAGCCAATAGGGTATAAGTAGGGACGCCATTCAAGATTCTTGTCATTTGCCTATTGGGTCTGATGATGATTGGAGTGTCCAATCAAAATCGATCACCACTTACCATCGTTTTGTATATTTACCGTCTTATGAGTAACAGTATAAGAGTAAATACATGTTTTAAGTGTTATAAGACGTTTTTTTTATTTACTTTCCGTAAATTTAATAACACGTACAATGCTGATCAAGAAGTTATTTAGAAATAATGATCGAAAATGTCAAAATTAATCATTGCTATGCTCGAGTTGCAGTTTTTTCAACCCCAAACTACAGTAAAGTCTTTATCCTCTTAAACCTATGTTCTCACCTGACCACAGGTTTGCTCAGACCTGCCTCAAGGGGTTTTAAATCCAAATTGTATTTACCAAAACTCTGTCTTTCAAAGATAATTAAATTCAAATTAAAAAAAATCTAATATATATGTTTATGACAATGCACTTTAATCTCATCCTAAACAACTCCAAGCATAAGGTAACTCTGGTCAACAGAGTAGAATCGTTTATCTCCCAGTAGAAAGTTAAACCGCGATTTATAGCACCATAATAAAATGGGTAGAAGACTAGCTATTGAGGTTATATACAGTAGACTATAGAGTTATATATTAGTTCCCAGTTCCCACCCATTTAGATTCAGCACTAAACAAAATATGGGCAAGCCACATAGTTAGTTATCATACCTACGCGATTGTGATTCACAACAGTCCACGTAACACCTTTGGTCATTCTAAACAAAGGTTTACAGTTTAATTAGGGATTCTGCAAAATCAATTAATCACCTTTTCACACAACTTATCAACACAACTAATCAACATTATGAGTCATTTACCTTGGAAACACCGTCACAAGTGGTTTTGTGAAAAATAAGGTTATACCAAGTTCACCCTTCGGATGGGCGACCTACAGCCTATTTCTTTACTAGGCTAAGTTTACCATTATCACCATCCAGGTAAGGACACAAGACACATGATAAGCTACTTTCAACATTTTTGTCAAATCCTACACCCTATAGTTAGTACCCGTTACTATATGTAGTACCCGTTACTATATGTCATATTCAAAAACATTATTCCCCACTCACCCCTCGAAGATTCTAAGTTTGTTTGATTTTTTCAGCTTAAGTTGTCCAACTTGGGAGTGGCAGGGATGAAAGGAGCCTTAGACGTTGTGGGACTCTATGGAGGGCCTTGCAGACTTCCCCTACAGCCTCTTCCCCCACAGCAACTCAAGAGGATCAGAGATGCCCTTGTCGAAGAGGACTTACTGTAAAACCCACATTTTCTTCCTTAAAATTAAATATTTTAAAATTTCCACTGAAGCCGAGGTAAAAAGACTCAATAAAAGTTACTTTTGTCTTTGCATCATGAAGTCTCAAAGTTCAAGACTTTTCTTTTAAACCTTTCCTATTATTCTGTCTAAAACCCTGTTAAGATGTCTTGAATTAAGTAATGGACTGGTCTAAGCAAGCCTGTAGACAAACCTCTCAATAACACTTGAGTCTCTTATCAAGCTGTGAAAATCAGGACTAAAACCCAAAGAGAAAATCAGAGGTTTTGGGTAGTCAATTATTCACTATGTTTATTACATAGGTATTCTTGTAAACAGTTGTCTGGGTGACTTTGACCCGTGAATTTGTGCAACATGTTTCGGTCTGGAACATTTTATCCAAGATTGACATATTTGTGAAAAGATTTTAGGACAGTAGAGATTATCGTTACATTTTTACTGTGGCTTACACTATTCTTAAAGATGTTATACCGTACATCACTGCATTACTGCAACTGACATCAAACTGTACATTTGTAATTTGAGTTGTGAATAGTTATTTACGTTTTGAGTTAAAAAGCACCAACAATTTTTTTTTTTTTTTTAAGAGGTTGGCGGCCTCTTTTAACCTTGCATTTGCCCGTCCACATAGACTAAGCGCCCGTGCGTGGATCGTTTACAGCAAAGCAAGGAGTGAGCCGGTACAGTACAAAGGTGAACTGTACTGATAAAATGTTCGGCAGTGACCAGGATCCGAACCCACGACATCGCTGCCTTGGGCCCGAAGTCCGCGACGCTACCGACTGAGCCACCGACTCACCAAATTTGTTTAACATTCATTAATTTACTGAATTTGAATTAGGTTTAAGTATTTTCAAGTTTCTTTATGGGCAAATGTGCATGTGCTCCTCTCGTAATCAGACTTTTTATACTTACCATACTTCTTGTCCAATTGGACACCAATTAACATGACAGGAGTGCATGAATTCAGATGTTGATTGCAACTTTAGATAGATCATTGGGACTTGATTTGAGATAGAACTTATTCAAATGGCATTCCAGTACCTATAAACAATATTTTAAACTATATTTTGGTCAAATTCACAAGCAGTTATTAATGATGAATATTTTACTGCTTTTGTGCTATAGTTCTGTCAATCCGGAAATATAAGTTTGTGTAGTGTTTTCAAATATAATTCAAATGAATCAGATAACCAATCAATGAGGACAGTGAAATATATACTGAAATTACATAAGAGATAGTACAATTTCATTAGGGCAGTCAAATATAAAAAATTTGACAACAGCTGGTCCATACACATGGAATGTACTTCAGTTTCTAAAAGTCAATGGTAAAAAGATACAAAAGATATGTATAACGTACATTAAAATTTTTGACACTTATCTTGCCTTACAGATGTATACTTAATCCGTGTATTAAAAATTGTTTGACCAAACAAAAAAATTACCTACTTCAGAAGTTTTGGTAACTGAATCGGTGGAACTTAACTGTAGCAGACAAACCGTGATTAATGATCGAGTCAATCAGGACATCGTGTAGGAAGGGATGTGAGAAAGGCTTCCAACAGCAATAAGAGTCAAACCAATAGACGCTAGTGGTGTTAAATTTGTTTAATGTCAATTATTTGTTGATATAACATTTGTACATATTACAAAAACGGCAGTTGTAGGGGAGGGGTTTTTGTGCACATGCGCATCACGCTTGCCACTCTAATTGACACAATCCTGTTTTAAGTGTTAGAGAAGCTAAAATATATATATCGAACAATTCCGCACAAAGATTCCTACCCTAATGTTGAACTTTCATTGTGAATATTTTTGGATAACAAGTTGAAGTTAGCTAGTTCAATTAATTATAATAAAAGTTTGAGTCTCTTTATAGTAAAAGTAAAAATATAACTAATTTTATCTTCAAAACTTTGTCAGATTTATAATTTAATTTCAATTTTTTGCGATTGCTAGCATTTTTTAAATGATAATTCCTAGGACAAACAATCTTTGTAAAATCATCAATAGGAATATTTCACTTTAATTTTCTCCATAACTTTTAAACTAGACATAAACACCCAGAAAACAAACTACCTCTAAATAGCAATAATTTACCCTTCACAACTAAACTCACAACCAAACACCACATCAGAATCAAACATCAGAATCTTTCACAACAAACAAACGAGCATCAGACTGTGATAGAGAACGAATCGAACCTCACTTGAACACGAGTTTGCTCCGTTCTTTGTACAATTTACGATGAGTTGCTACTATCACTATTCAAACATTGCAAGGTAGAAGCTGAGTCTTGCCACGGATAGTGCCAGGATTGAGGGACGTGAAGACGTGGTGCAATGGCCAAACTCCTGGCCCTTTTGCTGGTCCTGCAGATTCTTACAGTAAGTAAACATCCTGAACATATTTCTTATTTAGCCGTAAGAAACATTGACGATTGTACCTGTTCTTCGGAGTATGTTGAGAAAAAGTTTGGCAATGTTGGTATGAAAAAAAATAATTAATTTTTGTAGGTTTGTTAACAAAAGAAGGTTTAAACGTTTCAATCTTGTGTAAATGTTATTTTCAGTGTAAATGTAGTGTAGGGTATGTAATTTTGAAGGTTAGTAAGATTTCCATATGGATAACAAATATTTGCACACTACGTAAACGATGCGATATTATGTAATCGAACTCTTTCAATTTCAGGGGAAATATTACTTTTTTATCACTTGCATAGTGGTAGATCGTCCATGACCTGTTTAAGAAAGTCAACACTGTATGATATCGAGAGTTTATTGAGTCTTTCAAAGATGGTTCTTTGTAAATATGGGTATTTTTATTTCAATATTAGCTTTAGAAGTATCATCATGGCTATGTTTTGGAGTAAAAAAATATCTTCTATTTATTGTGTTAAGCCATAAAGATGTATTGAAATATTGAAAATTTCAACCCCAAATTTTGTATGTTTTCCAAATAGTAGGTCTAGTTATGATGGGTTTTTGACATTTTGATCTATTCCAAAGTTAAAGTAAAAGTATACCACTTTTGGCTTATCTTAAACTTATTTTGAGTATGTGTAATACTTTATGTATCATCAAAACAAGTAATTAGGAACTACAAGTCAATTAATATGTTGGATATTGTTATTTTGTACACATAAGCCATTCTCAATTGTTTTGACAATAGCAAGGGTATGTAATTATATTATATTAATAAGATGTGACTTAGGAGCCAAAATAAAATAATATTGTTGTAAAATTTAAAGTGAATTTGTTAAAATAAAAACTTTTTAGAGAGGCATTCAGAATTTGTAAACACGTGATGATTCAGAAAAAAATATTTTTGTAAATGCATAACACCGATGAACATAAATTATGATGAGCTTCAATTTGAAGTTAAAATAGATTAAAATAAGGTTTCCATAATTACATCTCAATCTTAATTATATTTTTTTACAACTAAAATTTATTCCTCAGAACAAAGAACTTGTCTAAACTATTTATGAAATCTATTATTGTACTTTGAAGTTAAATATTAACTTTAGTTTAACAATAAAGAATGTTTTGTATGTGATGTAAGAAAAGTATTTTCGTTGAACCCTGTAACCCTGTACCATCGTCTAAAACTTAACAGAACTTAAATAGTTTTCAGACTTGGCATGAACTTAACAACTTAGTCATCAAAAAATGTATAGGTACAATATTTTTAAGCTGCTAATTTTGACGGATAGGCTACATCTAAATTGCAAGAGATACTTTTAATAGTTAAGGGTGTAAACTACCATCTTACAATACATTTTATAACTACATACAATTTCCTGGATTGAGCTTAATCTAAAAGTATAATTAATATTACAGCATTCCAATGTCATTTAGGGTAAAATAATTTTACCTCACTCACCTAATTATCAAGATTAATATTATGTTTTCTCAACTTAATTTACTTTCCTCTCATATCAAGGTTGTGATTTTCCTCATGATAATTATATTTCATTTATCCTGGTACATCTAATATCTTCAAACAGTAAGATGTTTGTACATGTCTTAGCTTTTCTCGACTTTTAGGAAGTACTTTGAACCTAGGGTTCAGGGGTTTCATATTTATGTATAAGCAAGCTTGCTTGGTTGGATTACATATCTCAGATTTTAGTTTTTTTTATTTATTTTTTTTGTCCTAGGACGCTAGGCACGAGCCTGGGATTGTTAGATTTTAGGTTTGAACTACACTTACACAAAACGAGGTTGAACGACAAACTTTCGGGGCTATTCTTCATTATTCAAACTTGGGATTGAGCTAAAATTCCAACATTTCTAAGCAAACTATGTATTTTCCCTTGATTTAGAACCACAAATTTTACATGTAAACTAACCCTTCCCAAATTATTGAATTTCCTTACCATATGTATTACGCACGTGCGAAAGGTGTGGCCAATATTGTTGGGATACTTCTTTTTTGTTTGTAATGGCTCTCAATTTTTGCACTGGGCTCCGCACCACCCAAGGCCAGCTCTGTTTTGAGTTTAAACTTGATTTCAAACTTGAAAAGTGCAACTATTTCTGAAATTTACTGGATCAAACTAACTCGTCCAAATTGTTCAGGTTGAATAACTTAATTAAAAATTTAAGACTTGAAACTGACCTGTTTTATACTTATCTTCTACTTCCAACATGCTTTGATAGTTAAATATTATAAAATTCCACTTAGATGGGACTCAAAAGTGACTTTACTTAGTTCAGACAAAGATTTCATTGAGCGGTCTAAGTATAATGTCTGTTTTTCTGTATTTTCACTCCGAGCATATCCAGATGGTGATTTAGTATTGAAAGTGGTACATTGATAGGAGTATGTAAGGAATGTTGGTGGCACTATTTAAAAGAATCTCATGTCAAATTTCTTCTTTATGATGCAGTGGTCAAGACAGATGGTCTATGAGTAAGAAACTTTAACAAATGTGTTCCACCATTTGGATGTTACTGGTCTGGTAGTTAGAGTGCAGGACTTCTGCCCTCAGGGCTTGGATTTGAATCCCGCTAATTACTAACGGATGTGTGACAATTCTGTGACCATCCACCCATCTTGGGAGTGAGCTGATTTGATTTGAACTGGTGTAGTAGAGCGTAGGACTTTGGTCCCTGAGGTATCGGGTTCAAATCTCGCCAATCACCAATGGATTTTATGTGATATGCTGCAATTCTAGGTCCAGCCTGAAGCAATGCGAACACAATTCCAGGTCTAGACCCGGCTTTTAATGTAGGCTCTAAAGCCTAGCGTCTTAGGATGTAAAAAGTCCCTTCTAGAAAGTCAGGTCTTTCAGGCAACAAGAATTGTATTCATGTCATATAAAATTTGTAAAACGCATATCAATGACGCTTGCCGTTACAATAACTTTTCATTTATAATTGGTTAACTAGTTGGATACTCATTGACTTGTTATGTCTCCAAACAAAATAAAAGAAGTGGTATTCACCTATGCAGATATTTTAAAATTGTCAGGTTAAGATAAAGAAGAGTATTAGGATTAATGGTTTTTTGGGGTTCCAGCTTTAACACAAATCTAACAGCACATATACACTGATTTTTTGTAGCCATATCACGCAGGATTCCAGATTTTAAATTACTCAACATACTGTCACAAACACCTTATTGACAAAAAAAGAGTAAATAAATCATTCTTGTTTCACAGAGCTTTATGTGTTGTCTTTATTGAAGACCACCAAATTTTACATTGATTTGTTCTTCGACACTGGCCAACACTCTTAAAAAACCATTAGTCATTAATTAGATTAGAATGATAAAAAAAACATAGGTAAAAATTTTGAGGCAAATATATTTAATGAATGGTGAATAAATTATATGATAGCTTCGTTATTTACTATTTATCAGCTGAATGGTTCCGAACCACAAAAGACAACTGAGTTTTCTCATGTTCAAACCGACAACCTTCTTACTAACTTCTTACGGGGGAGCAAGCTGGTGGTTATAGTACGGGTGGTGGAGTGGTTTAGAGCGCTGGACTTCGGTCCCTGAGGTCCCGGGTTCAAATCCCGCCAAATCACCAATGGATTTTATCTAATTGATAATGCTGCAACCCTTAGATCTATCCTGAAGTATTATGAAATAACAATCCCGGGCTTGTGCCTAATACATTTATGTATATGAGAAACATAATGTACTTGTTTGTGTTTTGTGTTTCTGTAAACTGACTCTACTCATGCATGTATGTAGCCTACTATTTGAATAAACATGATATGATTTTAAAAATGATACTGCCATGAGAAAGTTTCCATAAGAACATTTTTTCCATGGTGTAAAAAAATATAACTTTTTAAAACTGCTGGAATATGTTAAGTTCGGGAAATTATGAGACACAGCAGGAAAACATCAGTTTGAGGGTCCAAACATTTTTAAAAAGTGGGACCAAAGATACCTGAATGAGGTGTAGGCTTTTGATAGTGAAGAACGTTTTGTCATTTGCAGCCATGTATTGTTCAATTACAAAAGTTTCTAGAACAGGAACGGTAAACCAAAATTAGGCTAAATCTTGAACAGTGAGTGGAAGGTTTAGAATTTTTGATCAGCTTTCCATAGTTCTACTCCTTTCTCAGTTCTCATAAAAAATCATACATAAAAATTAGAACAAATCCTAATTTAACATAATGAGATACAATATTCTGAGACCATAATTCATTGAAACTTCCTAAAGTTAAATTTCAAAACAAAAGCCAAGCTGATAGCTGATCACTTTCAAACCATTCTCTCTTAATTAAAATTGAAATTTTAAAAGTTACTGAAACAAAATAAAATGTTTAACTTCAATATTTTGAGGTATTATGAAGAAAATATCATAAATGCTTCTGGCCGAGCATACAGAAGACACCACTCGTTTATTCTTCTTGCTCGAAACAACTGCATTTATGACTTTCAAAGTGTATTATTTATTTATGATTATTTAACAATCCAATTAAGTAACAATCTTGTAAATTTACACTATTCATCTTTACCTAGAAATAAAACATTGAAACTATTGAAATTATTGAAAAACATTTATTTACCTTGCATTAGATGAGATTCATTTCTTTCTTTTCATGCTGTAAATGTTTTTATTTTAGTTGTAAAAATTTAAAATCAATGAAAAATCTTAATTTGTTTCTGGTTTTCATAATTTCTTTCCAAAAATTAATAAATTTACCCCTACCAGCACAGAAAACATACTACTATAACCCAGAATGCAAACCGCATGGTAAAAAGCATTAAGTGTTTTGAGAGAGCTTTGCCTGTCAATTGGTAGGCAGCGCCACCAGCGTTGTACTACCGAACCCCCCAGACACCCTGGTTTGCCCCACCCTTGTGACGGTTCTAGATCCGCCACTGTCGCTGCTCTCATGGATGGTCAGGAGCCAAG